CTCATTTTAGAAAACAATGAATTTGAATTGATGGGAAAATATATAAACAAATAGAAGGTACGGCAATGGTTCAGTCCCTTCACCAGAAATCTGCGGTATACTTGTATTTGAAACAATGAATCAAGTAGTTTCTGCATTTCAACTTTAAGACAAAATATTCTATTATAGTAGATACAGGGATGATGGATTCACAATATAAAATGGAACATCAGATGAAATTAAAGAATTTTTTCATCTGGCAAATAAATATAACTCCTTATCATGCTTATTTAAGTTCACCTTTAAAATCTCAAATGATACAAGGTCTTCTTAGATGTTGATGTAACTAAAAGGTCAAAGATTTACAGCACATGGCATTTTTGACCTTGAAATACATTTTGTAAATACATGAATAATTTGTATATTTGATTATATTAAACTTAAAGTAATGCATCTTATGATGACCTTCCCAAGCTTTAACTGCCGAAACACTAAAATAGTGTCCTATCAGGCATTATGGGATGTGAGGTTGCATATGATATATACATGCATGGGTGTTTATAATAAACAAAAAATAATAATTAAAAACCAATTGTTCAGAGAATAATTGAAGGTCTTTCCACAGCAATTTTAAAATTTATTGAAAAGAAGCTAGTTCGTGTTTACTCAAAGTTAAAATTGGCATCTTATCATCAGTTTCTTCATACTGATGGGATAAATAAGTGGTTTCTATATACTTCTGAGTGAAATAAGGGAGATAATTAGCTACTTCAGGTGAAATAAATATCACTTCCGGTCTCATATAATAGTTTCTTTCACACCGATTCCAAAAATATATAGTTTCTATATACTTTTGCTTGTAAACCAGGAGATAATTGGCCACTTCCAGTTTATCGAAAGTCATTTCTAGTCCAGTGATAAGTTAATGTAATAAAATTACAAAATATATGGATTCCGAGTACTTTTCCATGAAGAAAGTGCAAAAATGGCTACTGCCTGTTTTCTCAAGGTCACTTCTGGTTGTCATTCTTCAAGGTCATATGTCATCCAACCTTTTGTAAAAGGTCATATGGCTTTATAATGAACCAAGTTGAAGTAATAATCAATTAACCTTATAATTGGACATTTCAGGGGCACTTACTCCTATAAGATGCCATTAGATTGTTTCAGACCAAATGTAACATATCTTCATTACAATAAAGCAAACATTTTGCACTTGTTGTTTCATATATATATCTTTAAAAGTGTTTGAGAAAATGCAAAAACAAGGAAAAGTCAAAATTGAGAACTTCACCTTTGACCTTGACCTCATTTTCAAATTAGGACCTAGGGACTTCAAATAAAAAAATTCCAGAGTTATACGGTTAACGGTTTATGAGTTAAAAAAACATACCGACAAATTTATTTGGTAAAGGTAGATAACTCCTTTAAAATTTCATCGAATAGCTTCGATCCAAATTTAATTAGCCAAAAATTCCTAAGGATGTAACAAACAATTTAGAAAAAGAATTTTGTCGTTATCTTTTTTTGTTACGAAGGAGATGCACACACTTGATAAACAGTGAATAGGGAGATAACTCTTACAAAGAAAATTGTTCGGCTTAGAATGGGTGAAAATAAAAAGCTCATAAACTGTATGATACTATAGAAGAAATATCTTAGCAACATATTGCGAAACAAAAATTTTTACACGATAACAAAATTTGGCGGAAGAAAAAAATAATAATCAGAACAAATACAATATGTCTTTCCACAGAAAAGTGGAAACACCTAATAAAATATAATAATTTTAACAATTTTTCTTTTATTTACTTTCATGATACCTCCAAAATGGACTTTTATGAGACATCATTTTTACATAAATAATACACTCAAATTGCAGGAGTTTGCATGTTGTTTTAAAAAAAAATCTTGGGGGTGGGGGGGTGGGGGGCTCATGCCCCCAAACCCCCTTGCAAGTTCGGGTCTCTTCGCCACCCTCACTGGTGATTCAGGGCTAAGCTTTCTTTGTCAGGGCTTGACTAAATATAATTAATCTAGCCCTGTGGTCTAAACTACATTTTAAACTAAATTCTATCCCTGCTATTATAGTATAATAGTAGGGAATATAGACACTAATAGTTAAATAAGATTGAATAACTTTGTTATTTATTCTCTAAGTATAGAATGTGGAATGTATATATGTCTGTTCATAGGTCACTGAACTTGTTTTCAGGAAATATGAGGCTCAAAAGTCAATTACTTTATATACATTGTATATTATGTGATACAATGTACAAAAGATACTGTATTTCATAAAAATAAACCTTTCAAAGGGAAAATTATCTATAACTTGCAGGAAATGAGAAGAAAAAAAGGTGATTTCATTTTTACTTCCTTGATGTTTCAGAAAACAGTGCAAAACTGGTTGGCTGTACAGTAACATCCAGGTTATTTTTCCCTGATTGTGCAAAATATATCTCTGTCCAAATTGAAGATTCTATGATTCATAAGTCTATAATTCTTATATATTTTGTATATACATCTAAAAGAATAACAGTAAGATAAGATATTGTCTATAATAATAATGATTTATATCCATCCTAGGTTTTCATTCAAACACTTGAAAAGCAAGGAGGCTTTGTCTCTTGCTTTAAATGGCTATTGCTTTTCAAAGAACTGAATAAGAATGCTCATATAAATTTGTTTAAAGATTTTCTCAATTAAAAAAAAATGATTCTTACAAATTAACTAAAATATACCAAGATTGCAGCCTAAATGGATGCTCAGTTTCACAGTATAAATCTATCATACTGGAGTATGAAATCTTAATTAATTCAACAATTTGTGGCTACGAATTTACATCATTTAGTGACCAGTGTCAAGATTAATCATGCATGCATTTGCATTTTGCATTTTCTGTTAACCATTTACATGTAATCACATGATAATGCTATGATTTATTGTAGGAATTTTTGTCTCCTGCTTTAAATGGTAAAATTGAAGACATTCAGCAGCATGGGATATTTGCAGTGCACTTCCTTCATGGCAGTTTTTCTATTATGTCAACAGCCAAAGTTTCTACAGATTTACTTGAAGCAGTTGAGCAATGCTACAGATTTTATAGACAAGCAAGGGACCAGATAGTACTTAATGAAGCCCTTGCCATACCAAAACTTCTGTATCATATCCTGACTAAAATTCCAGTTAAAGTAAGTTATTAGTATTACAAAAATATAGACAATGTTCCCCCAGAAATCTGTTAAGGCGCAAAAATCAGAGCTGCATATATACCCTTTATTCTCAGTGAACTATTACAGTGGTCTTGTTAGCTCCAAATAGAAGGGTGACCTGCCCTGACACCCTGTTCCAAAATGCCAATAACTATAACCTAAACAATCACTTAAAGTTTAAAATACAATTACAGCTCAAATCATGCTTTTAAACTTCAAAATTCAGTTTTAATAGAATATTTTTCAGAACTTTCCAGTGCTTTGATAACAGCTCCAGAAATGTTGATTTCTGTGCACTCTCCTCTCTCTGTTCTAAGGATACATTAACCAAACTGTTTGTAATTTTATGAACATCCTATTCCTCAGTTCTTTCTTTATCATTTTAAGGGTTGAAAATCTCCTCTCTCATTCTTAAGAAAATACAATGTCTTATTGTATAGGAATGTAGTTATAAACGTGTTTATACATGGCTGGAACGATCCCATTATCATGATTATCATTTTAGACTTAAATAAAAAAAAAGATGAATCTGTTTGTATTTTGCAATCTTTGCTTTGTATCTTTCCTTTCTTAGTCAAATGATTTATTTTTTTATAATTTATTTTTTCTTCATGAATTTACAGGTATTTACATCTATTTATCTTGTGGCACAATAATCAAGCAAGTGAAATAAATAAGCATAATATGGTATAACAGTATGAAATCTATGGAATAAGTATGATAATGATTTGATTTGATTTTTGGTGTTTTAACACCACTTTTAAGCACCGCTTTTGGGCTATTTCGTGGCGGCCAGTTTTTATTGGTGGAGGAAGCCGGAGTGCTCGGAGAAAACCACCGACCTTCGATAGGAAAACTGACAATCCTAGTCAATTAAGATTGGAGAAGAGTGCACCAGCACGAGCGGGGTTCGAACTCACAACCTCAGTGTTGACTGGCTAGTGATTACAGTAGTAACTACTTAGACCACTCGGCCACCGAGGCCCCAGTATAATAACGTTTTCATCAATGAAATAATAATAGTGGAAGAACACATATATACACATTCATATGGTATAACAGTATACACATACATTCAAATATACATGTACACTTAAAATATACATATGTATATGGATGTACACCATTAATATTTAATCAGTGACCTTAGCCCAGGGGTTCCATTACAAGTTATATTCTTCCACACTCAAATTTTTTTGAAGAAATATGTGTTTCTAAAATCAAGCTTTCTTTTATGTAATTTTGAAGTACTTTGTTAGTATAATAACTTTATTTTTGATAATATTCAATTAATAATTTTCATAGAGGCGAAACATGACATTATCCAAATTTGGTGGAATTCAGCTAAAACAGGCTATTATTTCAACTTGAAAGTATTTTTAATTATGGAATTTGCATAATTTCTTGAGCTTGAAATTTTTAATGAATTCCATGTTTATTCTGTATTATAATGTTTTGAGCGGTGCATAACACTTTCCATACAATGTATTTTGTATAGATAGTGTTGTGCACCGCACAGTACATTCTAATGAAAATGTGCTATCTTCTTTGTAATAGAAAGTATTGTGCGCTGCACAGAACATTAAAATACAGAATAAACATGAAATTTATTAAAAATTTCAAGCACAAGAAATTGTTCAAATTCCATAAAAAAAAAAAAATTCCAAGTTGAAATAATAGCCTGTTATATGTACTATATCAAATGATTTATTGACATCTTTTTATTCATAGGGATTTCAGCAGTATATTATCTCCCTTTGCAACTACCTGTATGATGAGCTGGTACTTGTTTATGACTGCAAGAATGACATGGCAAGTACAATTGTCAGCAATACATATAGTCGTCTGTGGAACCTGGCCATTAAACAGGAACAAGAGATTGAAGGACATGACTGGGAAATCCTACAACTTAGACATCTGATACTGAAAATTTTACTGCTTAAGCCAGGGACAGCAAATAGTGTCACAGAGAAACTTGTTCTAGCTCTAACTAGGTATTTGTTCTCTTTGACTAATTTGAATACTGTCTTTTCTTTTAATTGATGTCATCTGTATGTCAAAATGCATGCTTATGTGTTTTTTTCAATATTGGATGTACATGTACTACATGCTATGATCATTTTGGTATATGAATTTACATTGAAAACACAATGATATAGAAATGTTGTCCTTAATTCAGAGCTTAAACTATTCATTGGCAGAATCATGTCTTCCTTCAGACTGTTAGCTTGTGAACTAGCACATTTAAAATCAGACTCAGGGTGTCTGTCTAGTACAAAGTAGGGTTTATATTCATATCACATTATCATATTCTCATCCTGAATATGCATGTAATTTGCCACAGACATCCCTCCATCCATCATAACTAAATCACTTTCAACTGGTAAGTTTGCTTTCACCAGCATCCAAAGTTAATTTGCCTAGAACAGTTGCTCAAAAGGCTCTGAAATAATTAAATGAACGTATGTACTATATTATTAGAATAACTTTTTAAAATAGAATACATGTAGCAAGGACTAGCAAAATGAAGTCTTACTCTGCATTTTCCTTTAATTTTCTTTTAAGTATTTGTGACAATAGAATAAGAATAAGAATAAGAATATTTTATTTCCAATTAAAGGGCCCTATAAAGAGCTTTCATCACATTACATACAAGTACATAAGATTAGACATAAATTAGAGACATTTAAGAAAACAACATTGTTTAATACTATTAAAAAATGCTATAAAAGGCCAGGACAGAACCAGATAATACAATTCACATCTTTGAAATATACCATTCAAAATCATATACCACTCAAAATATGTGTATTTGTGGCTAATTTGCATTTATTATCTTTGAACTTCTCCTTCTCTCAAATTTTTTGATAAATACATTTGATAAATAATAAAAAAAAATATGTAAATAAAAAAGTAACCCAATGACACAAATACTGTTACCAACAGTCATCTAATGGTAGTAAGATAGTCTCCAACAATAGACAGGTGTCTTTACAATATGGCAAGTCTGAATTGCCCTGAGTCTTATAAAAAACCATGAATGATTTCAACAGAAACTATCAAAGATCTACCATTAACACCAAAATTCTCCACATAACAAGAAATATTGTGACATAAAACCACTGACAAGGTTCCTAACTTGGTGCAGAAACATGAATGTTGGATTTCTATAGTTTTATTGAGATCTCAACCGTCCCCTCTTTTGTTTTCTTGATCAGTGGAGTCTCAAAAGGAACATTCAATACAGGAAAAGCACTGAACTGTAATAATGGTATAATATTTAATAAAACACAAGTCCTAACAAAACAATTATAAACAACACTGTATCACAGAATGCTTGTTAAGGCCAAAAATAAAATATTGTTTGTTTCCCCTCCCACGACTGACCCGGTAAAATTATCGCGACCTGAAAAATTTTATTGGCCGTTCGTGTCCAATATTTTTTTTTAACCCTCTCGGTTAGTCAGACTGGGCTAGTCAAAATTTTGTTTAAAACCAGGAATTAAAAAAAAATTACTTGTCAACAAATCCCGGTTTCACTTAAACCCCAGTGGTTTCGGAGGATATCGTATACTCCCATCATTCATGAACAACATGCAAATCCTCGGGGTTTACCCATTCCCATTTTAATATTTACATTGTCTCGCATGTTTGAACAAGGCAAACATTGCATGACAAAGTTTCTTCAAGTTGAAAGTAAAAATATGTATGCAAACTATTCTATAAATGCAAATGTTTGACTGTACCTTAAATTGAATAATTATATCCAGATTAAATCAATAAAAGCAGTAATCCTGCAAATAAATAATGGTCACATGCACAATTTGTGTGTTTACATTCGTTGGGAGCCATGTGCTTTTTGGCGGGAAAATATAGGAAATCCCTAAATTAATGACTACCTGTATCTTGTTATTTATAGGCAGCAAAGAATTTCAATCTCATGAACAGCTGAGATGGGAGTGCCATTTAAATAATGCATACTATCTGGGGGAAAGAGTGAAACTGCAAATAATTGTATATATACTTACTTTACATAAATTTATTTTAATTATGTTTTTTGGAGTAGGGAATTTTATAATATCATCATTTTATATTTGTAAGATATATAAAATGACAATATCATAAAATCCCCCACCCCAAAAAATAAAAATAATATTAATATGTACTAGTCTGAACAGACTTGCTTGAAATGGCTTTGCAATTCTACAAGATTCACTGTGTTTTTTTCAGTTATTGTTAACTGAAATTAAATCTAAATTTGTCATGTTTCTTTCAGAAGTATGTTCAAGGGCTATCCCCTGATAGCCTTTTAAATGTAACGTGACTGAAAGGCAATTTTGAGTAAAAATGGTCTGAATCATGCTTTAAAATTTTAATATCTACATTGAATTTTGTACAAATTCAATATAGAAAACCATAACAAGAAATAAATTAAAATAATTTGCCTACCTACCTACCCATACCCTGAAAACCTCAGTCGGGAAGGGGAATCAAAGATATTTTTAATGTTGGCCTAATAAAGTTTTATATTCAACCTACATGTACTTTAAGTGATACCAATTTGCTTTGCATGAAGAAATTTAGATGATTTTTCCTATTTTTGACAGAATTATGTCCCTTTGGCAATGGAAATTTTGTGAAAATTTTCTGTAGGCTTGAGAATTGTGTTACACCGAAAGGTTTTTTTTTTATAACATCAATTACTAAAATATCCAAGCATTATAGTCTTGGTCTAAATCATCTTTATTTGAGTAAGATTACCTCAAATGTTTAAATGATTTCCATAAACTTGTACTGCATTCAACATACCATTTTACGGACATTATCTGATAACTGGAGATTCATTTTGAATAGTTATAACACAATACTGTTGTAAAACAGCACACTATTTTTATCTTAAATTTAATGACTGAATTATTTAAGGCAAACAACTATAATATTTTCTTCCATTTGTATTTTGAAATAATCATGTATATTAAACATTTGATATATTATTAAATGTTTTTTTTTTGTTTTTTTTTTCCAGATTTGAGAAAACAATTTTGCAAAAAGAGAAGATACTGGATGAGACTTCATTTCCTGTTGTTGATTTAGTGGCAGACACTTTGACCTGTCTTCATAACCACAAACTAACACGTGGAGAGGAGTTGTCTCCCCTCTTATTACATCAGTTCCTATTGAAGCTTGGGACTCAGTATGACATTAAAAAAGCAATTAAATACACTATGACTGACATTAGCCTTTGGAGTGTACTTTATCAGGAAAATACTGAAATTTATAATATATATAGAATTTTATATTACTATGGAAACCAAATCTTTGTTTGGATGTACAGCAATAATAAAGAAAAAGCAGAGGAAAATTTTCCTGTACAGCTTGGAAAAGAGCCAGAACAAATCGCTGAAACACTTCCCAAAATTGTAGAGTCTATATCTCACGACAGGCTTAACATAGTTATAGATATCTTGCTTATTGTTATAAGATATGTGGAGAAAACTGACCTCCAGACAGACAGACTTTTGTCAGTGCTTAAGACCTTGTCTAAAATCAATCGGGTGTTACTGAAATGGAAACCAGAACAAGACAAACAAGCTAAAATCATTATAGATCTAGTCCAGACCCAGATGAAAATTTTGTTTAATTACATAAAAAGCAGTTCAGGTAATAATTAATAGAAAATCACATATAAACGGAATCCCAATTTTCTTGATTCCTTAGAAATTTGATTAGCTCATGGGCAATTCAATACTATTTCTGATATGTCATTCTGTAATTAAGTTATATGTTTGTTCCTATAAACCATCTGGTTTGTGATTAAGAATTACCATAAAATCTACCAATGCTCATCTCATTGTGCCTTTGGTTTTGTAATCCTTCAGATTAATAACTATTTAGAGGTTCATGTATTATACAGTACAGTCGGAAACTCTTAACAGCCACCTCATATCAGCAGCCACCTGCCTCTAACGGTCACTTTCAGAGCCTCCCGAATGTTTTCTTTGTATAATTTAACCTTTTTAAGCGGCCACCTGTATTAATATGGTCATTTAATTTTTGTACAAAGTCGTTATTTCAACTTTTAACAACAGTCATTTTAATGTTATAACTACCAAAATAATCATTGATGTGTTTAGAATCACAGTCAATGTGAAAACCAGAACTTGTTTGCACAGAGATCGCTCAATAGGTGAATTTGTGAATTCCTCGTTTTCCACTACTTTTAGTTTCCATTAAAAAAGCGTATCACCAACTTATTTCTCCATTAATATTAACATATTTTGAATGTTTTCTTCAAATTTGCAGAGCTGGACTCTGCCATTTTTCATTTCACTATTCACAGGATTGATAACTCTACCAAATGAAAACAGTAAAACAATTTGGCCCTATCCTCGTCATGAGTGATGTCAAGATCAGAATTTTTCCAAACCTCTCTTAAAAGGTCACTTTTGATACTTCCCAACAAGAGTGACTGTAATTGTGATATCATTCAAGGCATTGCCATATATAAACAAATAATGTTTACACAGGCTAGGGGTGCAGATGCTCTTAAAATCATTCTTTGAAGCTTTAAAGAACATAATAAAACCATCTTTTCTGAGATGGGTGATGAAATTATGGAAGTGTCATTAGTATAGAAATAAAGAAATTGCTCCAATAAAAACATCTTTCCTAGCACAGAAGTTTGAAAATAAAAGAAAGAATGAACACATTCTGAAACTTACAATATCATGAATATAATGGCATTGAATTCACCTTTTTTATTAGAGAACTGATTATTTTATCATGTTTATTGAAGAGTGTATGTAGAAATAATTTTATGCCCTGCCTATAATAGCTTTATGTTTTCCAAACTGTCCATACTGTATCTAGTTAAAGTTTTGTTTTAAGGTGGTTTCAATGGAGTTGTTGTCACATCAACTTGTAACTTAGTACATGTTTTCATGATGATTTGAACTTTAAAAAATATAGGCCAAATGAAGGTTTTTACCCAGATTTGTCAGTTTACTGAACATGGGGATGGGATAGTGTCAGTAGGGCATGGTATCCAATGGACACATATTCTTGTTTTATTAAAATTAATTGATGGTGAATAATAAAAACTGCATTGTTTTGATTACAGACAAAGAAGAGTTCAGAAGATTGATAGATGTGTGTGAAGATATCACACAGTCCTATAGTACATTACTACAAGATCCTGAATCTAAAGGAAAAGATCATGACAGACATTACTGTGGTTTGTAAAAAATTAAAAGTACCCGAAAATATTTTATTAAAGTTTTTTAAAGGGGCATAAGCTGTCAAATACATGTTCACCGATCTGACACAAGTACTCATATTTGATTTATAACATACTAAAACATATATCCAAATTATAAAAAGTCTAAAATAAAATTTATGATGCATTGACTCGATAATATGTATCAGCAATTTGCATGTTTTTATGGATCTAATCAGTCAACCAAATGGTTAACCCTTGTTTCACTTTCAATGTTTACATTCTTTTTCCTTTTAATAGCTGAACACACCTAGTTTATGTGTAACCCATCTCTAGCTAAGGGGTTAAATTGAAGGTCCCAGGAATACAGATTCAATGAGGTCAATTATTTACTTGCAAGTGAATAATTCATCAGCAAGGTTTTTAAGCTTATTTTGACAAAATTGAACTGAAATGGCTACTAAAAGCGAATTATTACTTCACTATTTCACTTTCTTTAATGATTGAACCAAAAAAAATCATATTTTAATTTTTGTTACATCTGGTAGCAAATGTCCCTTTAAGTATATATCCTCTCATTAAAAGTCACATAACTTAATAAACACAAATTGAGTATACTGTTCTGTTGTTGTTTGGTTTCCGTCTCATAGACATATACCCCAACAAAAGTTGTGTAGGCAAGACATGACAAACCTAAAATTCGTTGATGTCTTCAAGTATGTTCAGTCTATGGTTAAATATTTCTAGACATCAATAACTTTGTCAAACATTCACAGAATTTTATGAAACTTGGAAGAATCTTCTTCATGATCAGAAAAGTATCTGGAGCAAAATGTTGTTCAATATTTACCCTGTCCCCCCTATTTTACTGATTAATTGACTTCATCATGGCCAAACATCCATGGAATTTTATGAATTTTGAATGGAAGCTTTCTCATAGATGGGGGTTGGAATGCAACATTTATTTCAACTTAACCATGCATGAAATTTTTTAATTTCAATTGATAAATTTATTTCCTATGGTTGGTAAATTATCGCCACCCATAAATTGTAGTTAGAAGTACCTTTATCTTAAAACCCTTATAAATGTATATATATATGTGTGTGTTATTTGCAGGTTATTTAGTGTCCAAGCTGGCTCAAATGTGTTTTGAGAAGAACTTGTTTCAAATGGCTATAGTATTTTATAAAATAGCTTGTCTTCAACTTAACCTGTATGTGAATTCTGACAACACTCTGAAACAAACCAGAATGGATGAGGTATTGAATCTATTTCTTACAAAGTTTTTGTGCAGCAATTAAGCAGAAAATAATTTGAATACTTTTTACTATGTTGTATAAAAAAAAAAACAGGAAGGCAACATAGCATTAGGTAGCCATTTTAAATAGTATGGGAGTACATGTATTTGTTTTCAAGCTACAGATGGTGAAGAAATCTCATATTCTTTAGGGAGTTGCAGCAAAGTCTGACTCCGCTTATGATATAATGAAAGCTATTGGGATGCAACATTTAGGTTTAAGGAACAAAAAAAAAATTGATTAGTTTGAGCCATACAAAATATTTACTTGACTTCATAATGCCCAGTTGGTTAGAGAAACCCCTTTGGATTATGGGGTCAAAGGTCTATCACCTATTGATATATTGAAATTTGGGGGGAGTTTGGAATCTGGACAATATCTTTTTTGAGTCATTAATTAGATCTTAACCTTTTTGGTTGATGATGTACCTATGGACGAAAAAAAAAACTATTGAGTTAAAGGTCATAGGTCAAGGTTATAAAGCAAATAATAGATTGAAATTTTAGCTCTTTTTTTTTTTTTTTTTTTTTTTTCTCTTAATCATTTGACATACATTGTTGACAGACTTGACAGTCATCATTGTAGTCAAAACACAAAAAAATCTGCTTCTATTATAAATCCATGAAGATTGCAACTACGCTTATGAACACGTGGTGCTTTTGTAATAGTGTTTGGATTATACTGTGAAATGCATTATATTAAATGACCAGAAGAAAAAAAAAAAACACATCAAAATCAGAATTTTGAAATAAAATACAAGAGTATTAAATAATTAATGAGGTAAATGTACTTGTTTTCTCAATACATAAGAAAATGAATTCCAACAAAAATCTAACTCATTTCTAAAATCAGAGTCTTTAATTAAATTAGTTTTCATGCAAATATATTCCAATTCTATATCAACATGCTAATTTCAGTAAATATTTACAAAGATTATATGTGATCCAAGACGGTGGCCACAATTTTTGCACACCCATACTATCATTTTCTTGGTTGGTTTGGGAACAGGGATATTGAGTGGAGGATGTAGATGTAGTAACACACATAAAAGTGAACAATGTGTCAATGGAACATTATTTTTGTTCTCCTGTGAAAGATGTCTCAAGTTTAAATATCTAAAAATAAATTCACCCAGTTTAATTATTCAAAGAAAATAAATATGATGATTTCACTAATCAGAAATTGTTAGCATGTTTAGAAAAATTTAGTGGGAAAATAATTTTCATTCTTATTTTTCAGGTTTGTTTGGGTAGGAAGTATATAAGTTTAGCTGATATCTATTTGGAATGCGGTGATACATATGCTGCCATAGAAGCCATCATTTCCTGTGTATTGGTTCATCCTAGTCATGTGACACAGGCAGTTAAAGTTTGGGTTAAAGTAAAAAAAGATTTAATTAAAAATGGAAGTGAGGAAATGAATAGAAAGTAAGTTGAAATTGCTTAAAAATGGTTGTTAAATAACAAAAGACTACATCCCATGAAGGATGAAAATATATCTTGTACTATATTTTCTATGTAATATGACTGAAAGAAGCCTAAATAACTTAACTTTTCTTTATATACATATATTAGTTAAATGATTGAAATCAGAATGCTTTGCCTACCCCCTATCTTCGCAAGCCAAGGGTTACAATCTGGCTCCCTCCTCTTCACCCTTCGAAGATTTAAGACAGAATTTGTGAATACACTGCTGCTCCATCTAGTTACAGATAGAAGTCATACCCACTTTGACTACATCATTCTTGACCAATGAGAACACTTATACTATTTTTAGTTCGGAAGTGTTAGATATGGTTGTGCCTAGTGTTTACAAATTTCGTGAAGCAGAAACTGCAAGTATACGTTGACATTCAATAGTTTGCATGAGGTACATACTCAAGAACTTGAATTAGTTAATTAAGAACTTTAAAAGTGTTACTAAATAGTGTCCTTAGATTTTGGGGTAAAGAATAGGGCACAATCGCTTATTTACATTTTCTACATTAACACACGTTTCTTTAGCTTTCTAAGCCCCCCCTCCCTCCCATTATGGATCTTCATATATGTTAAATGCATAGACTTTTACAAGTAAATGTATCACTTCAAACAATAGCTTGCCAGGATTGATAAAACCAACTCCATCAAAAGCTAAATTTGTCAGAATTTCTCTTTCTTTTGAGCAGTTATGTGGTAAATTTGCTAGGTTATTGATTCAGGTTCCTAGGAGCCTCTGGATCATATCGTTCCTACAGTTTGTTGGAAATAAAACTTTGACTTTTGCACAAGGAATTATATATAATTTAAAAGTGAATCACTAAATTGTTCCATGATTTATGACCTTGTGGAGATAGAAGTGTCTACATATTCTACAAAATATCTAGATCAGGGCTTCCAAAATGGTCGTATTGTCTGGACTTGACCGATAAATTATAATTATGACTTGTTGTGCCAAACCTGAAACGGACATTTAAAGTGGGTTTGCCATTTTTACATAATTCAGAAAAAAAAAAGAAGTTTTTGCGATCTTATTGACCTGACCTTTTGCCTTAAACGGACACATTTCCAGTCATAAAAGTGAAACAGTGAATAAGTACTATAAAAAAAACCTACTTTAATACCTTCTCATTACAATCAAGGTTAATTAGTTGTCTGACAGTTGAAATTTACCTGTTCAGGTGACAGATAAACTAATATGTACTGGACATTGATCAGTCTATTTTAAGTTATTTTCATAAATTTCAGCAGTTTGCATCTAATTAATTTAGTCAACAAGATTTAGATTATCAAAAATATGTACATATAAATATGATTTGATGAAAAAGGTTATAAAGGTTTAAGCGAAAAATCGTAAGAACCACGTTGTTTGAACTAATACATATGTGCGCAGGTGTGAGATTTAATTGTGCATCTGAATTCTTCAAAAATGCTAAAATTATCATTGATACCTTTATCTTATGTTCATTTCAAGTATTTTCTTGAAAAATAACATGGAAAGGGCTACTTAAACTGAATCGTGCTTTGTAAAACGTACACAGATTTTACGTATCCATTTCTGGTCTGTGTTTTACCGTTGTCAAGTCAACATCTGGTATAAGAAAATGTGCCTTCTTGGCTTCTAAAAACGTAAGTAAAGTTTTTGAAAATGTAATTTTGCACAAATAAAGATTCTAAGACAGATATTAGTACGGCAATCAGTGTATAATTTTTTACTGTGGTGGTATCGGTCTTACCGCAATGTATAATTTTTGTCTGTGGTGCTAAAATTTTCAGTAAAAATCGGTAAGGTTTTAAACTATTTGTTAAATCTTTTCTGTGTGGTATAAAATTCCAGGTGAAATTTGACCAGTTCAAACCAGTTAAACCCAGATTGTTTACACCACGTGATCGATTTACCTTATGAGGTTAACCTTATTTATTGGATTTAATCGATGTAATTAACACTTGTTACATGATTCTTTTGTGTTTTAAATAAGAGATCATAACTTTATGATCACAGATAACTATTTTATGGCTTCACTCACTACCCAAGTGCTGACCTGTGACAAGTCGGCAAATATACTTTGTACACAAATAGTGTGGACCAGATAGTTATAGACACGCCGGTACATTTTTTGTACACAATAAAGTTAGATCTTTAGTATAAATGACAATTATACATTTCTCAATTCTTATATTATAGTATTATATGTCTGATTAAACCATGGCCAAAATTATTTTGAATTATGACATAGTTATTGCATGATAGTAGGGTTTCAAACTATCATAGTATCTGTCAACAGACGGACATTGTACATATCACATGACCCAGTTAGTTCACGTAGAATATGTAAGTTTATCTACAATTAATTGCAAAATATTCTATTTTATAAATAAAATGCATGACTGTACCTTCAAACTGGATATCTATATCAACAATTAATGAATCACAGAAGTAATCTAGCAAATTTTATCCATAAGCACATGTTAAATCTATTTATATCTACTTCCTGTCATTTAGGCGGGAAAAGAGGGAGACTTTGTTGTTGACATTGAATATGGTTACTAATAGATCTATAGACCCAAGATAAATTTATAGATTTAGGAATTCTTTTTAAATGAATCATGACAAATAAAGATTTAGATTTCAGTGCAGTATTAAGTCTGTATCTATGTTTGATTATCACCAAAGACAAGAAAGGTTAATATTTGCATGAAATTTATGGCAAAATTTTTAAAAATTTATGAAAAACTTCTTTTTATTAAATTTAAGATAGAAACTGGTTCAAATAATGAAATTATATTTGTGCTTGTTAATTTTATATCTCCTTATCATGCTTATGACAAGAATAGTTGTACATACAAAAACTTTCTTTTTAGAAACTAGAAAGTTTTTTAAATTGAACATTTTTAGTCTCCTTTGAATGATATCTTATTTTTATTGATCATGGATTTTATAAAAGATTTAATTACTTTAAATTTAGATGAATATTTTGTAATGAATCCTGTTTTATTTATTTTTAAAAAGATATTAAAGTATACAAACTGTTTATTGATTTACTTCTTTTTTACCAATAATTTTCTGACTCAATGTCTACATAACACAGTACCACAGTATTAAATCAAAACAAGAGACATAAAAACTGCAGTAACTAGAAATATAGCTAAGCGACACGACTGATTGTATGAATCATTTCACTAAGCTGTCCACAAGCGTTACCCTGGTGCTATCCAAAAATCCTGTGGAGAACACTGGGCAATGTTGCACACTTTGAATGATGCACTGCAACAGTTTATGTCAGTACATCGAATTTGTATCAAAAGTCAAGTTAAATATTGTTTTTATGTCATTGTTTTAATGATGCCCAACTGATTACCATGCTTGCCTTTTGTTACTTAGTCTTAAGGGATTAAAGGTTGCATCTCTGTAAATATCGACAATGCAATTTCCCATAGGAACTCCTTTTACAGCTAAAACTGTACCGCTTTTACTATAATGTTTTGAAAAAAATTATATCCTAGAAAGGAAAGTTCATATGCACTACTATTTTTTTCAAAGGTCAAAATATAGGGCTGTGCGGCATATTTTCAACATTTATATGCCCAGAACTTCTTAAGAGTTTAAACTTATACTAAAATTCTGTACTACCCCTATCTTGACTCTAGGTCTTCCACAAATTTCAATTTGACTGCTATGCATGTGTATATTTACTGGTAACATTCCCAAGTTATGTCTCTACGAGATGAAACATAGAGATCATATCTGGGAACCAGTACGTAAACAAAAATAAATATCTATATATATTATATATCTCCCCAAAAGAGGCGTGATTTGTGAAACAGCTGTATTTACAAAGTGCAACCTAAAATCAGGATAAGACAAAAAATGTCCGGCAGACACAAATATATTTTGGAAGCTCTGATTTATATATCACCCTTTTTTCATGCCAAATTTATTTATTTTCATCAACTTCTTCTTGTTCTTCCGTTAAATTACAGTCCTCCCATGGAAGGAGTATCATCATACTGTTCTGTAGATATATTATATACATGTATATGTTTATGGTTATAATAACTATTGCATCTAAAGGTATTCACATTTGAAATCAAATTTAGGTCTGGATATTTCCTATACATTACAATTTATCCATCTTGAATATAGCAAAAGAACACCCAGATGAAAACTTTTTGATACAAGGATATAGTTTTAGTTTATTCAATTATTTATCTCAATATAAATATTATATATTTATTTTTCAGAACTTTTGGACAGTCTGTTTTTGAACAAGATAAAACTGTTGATATATGTAGTCTCCTAAAGGCAGAAAATGACATGTTTAAGTCAACCAGGTATTAGACTAAAGCTGTCTTTAATATTATTGTTAATAGAAGACTGTTGTACCAAAACCACACTCTTAGAAACTTAGGAAATGTTTTGATCTTTACAAATATACAGTCTAGCTGTACATCTACATTTATTTTGTTTTTAACAGTTTTTTCTTTTGTTCTAAAATCTTTTTTTTGTAACATTAACTTTTGCTGAATGATAAAGAGTTAGTAACTCTTTGTTTTTGTCTCGCCTGTGACGAAGGTCACGGAAAGGGAGACATAGGGATTGCTTTTCCGGAGACGGCTGAGGTGACAGCAACAACAATTGTTAAGTTTTCTGCTTAAGTTAGTTTGATAAGAACTACTTGTGATAGATCATTGATATTTAATATCAAGTTGCATTACTATCAGTACATATCAGTTTGACGACTATTTTGAGGCCCTGCTCCTTAGGTCATTGTCCAGGGACTTTGAATTAATTAGCAATTTTCAATGTTAAGATTTCTGCTTAAGTTTGTTTGATAGGACCTACTTGTGATAGATCAATGATATTTTATATGAAGTCCCATTACTATCTGTACATATCAATTTAACAACTATTTTGAGGCCATGCCCCGTAGAATATGGTCCAGTGACTTTGAATTGATTAGCAATTTTCAATGTTAAGTTTTCTGCTTAAGTTAGTTTGATAGGATCTACTTGTGATAGATCAATGATATTTTGTATGAAGTTGCATTACTATCAGTTCATATCAGTTTGACGACTATCACGAGGACCTGCCCACTAGGTCATGGTCTAGTGACTTTGAATTAATTAGCAATTTTCAATGTTAAGTTTTCTGCTCAAGTCAGTTTGATAAGAAGTACTTGTGATAGATCAATGATATTTTGTATGAAGTTGCATTGCTATCAGTACATATCAGTTAGATGATTATTTCCAGGCCCTGCCCACTAAATAATGGTCCAGTGACTGAATTAAAAAACCATATTGCTGTCCATCAGATTGTCTTTTTCAGAATTTTATGCTGACAGGCGAGATATATCTCTGTGTCAACAGTTTTATATTGAAAAGTTTGAATATAATTTTTGTATGTGTATGCAAACATTAGAGCAAAAAATGTGGGGATTCAAGAAAAAATAGTGCAAAAACGGGCTTGCTTACATTAAGGAACATTGCCAACTATTAAATATAAGTAGTAACAATTTTAAATTACATTACTTTGCATGATTAACTGTGTTCTAAACATGATTTAGAAAGTCCAAACTGATTAAATATCTCAAAATGAACACTAACTATAGATCAGATACAAAATGAATTTGGAAAGCGCTTTTGACTGTGTGTAATTTCGAAGTTAAGGAATTTATTATGTTGATTGCCATATGGGAATTTCAGACAGTTCTCAGTTATTGATAAAGTCTGCGCTTTAAACTGTATATCAATGTGATATGCTGACTAATCAAACATCCACCATATTGATATGGAAGACATAGAAGTCTTCTTTTATACTTGGTCTTTGACATGGTAGCAAGATACAGTTTCATTTTCCATCACTACTGTTGCTAAATATAGATGTTTCTCACTTATTAAGTAGATCTTATTTACCATGTCATATGTAGAACAGATGAAATGAAATAGAATGATACAGTTGCCATATAAATGTGCATCAAATGTCAATATGTGTGTTCTGTATTGAATTCTTCTATTATTTCCATTGCAGAAAAAGATTTTATCCAGCAGAAATAGAAATATTACAACAATTGATTATAGCAGCAGCCAATCAACCATTGATTAAAGGCAAAGCCTTGTTAGAGATAGCTTTAGTACATTGGCAAAGTGGATTAAAAGGAAATCGGTGAGATGTTGTGAAGTTGAATATTATTATAGCATATTCTTATTAGGGGGATAGTACCTGAAAAAAAATTAATAAAATGGAAATAAGGACCATTTGTATAAAGCATAGTACCAGTATACTGTACCAGATATCAAACACAGTTCTGTATACACCCATAATCCTTGTTGCCTGTATCAGGGCCCTGCCGATTGGTTTGTAGATGGCCTATAATAATTAGCTTGTTTGTCCATCCGTGAATGCATCCATCACAAATCCGTTCGGCTGTCTTAATTTTTAACCCCCCTTGGAGTTTGGTAATGTAATATGACATGATGATTCATCACTTCTAGAATATGTGCCTGCCTTCCATGGGTATAAGCAATGTATAAATCAAAATACCCCACCACAATTTACTTTTTAACTTGAGCGAGGCCCTCTGTAATGGCTCCCATCACTGTCTTCTAGTATAGGTTCTTTTGCTTAAATAGATAAAATAACACCTTTAGGATCACAGTATTTTTCTTTCCAAGATTAAGATATTCCTTGAAGTTATCATCATCATAATTTTTTTCAGTCATCAAGCACATTTTCTGATTGGAAAAATTGTAACTGAAGTAAAAGTCAAATTCCGTGTAAGAAGAAGATTTTCTTTTTATACAGAATAATATTATTGCAGGGATATACTGGAGTACTTAAAACAAGCAGAATCTGTGCTGGTTGGCATAGAGAATTCAGCGGAGGTGTTGGGCCAAGTATACTTGTGGCAGTATGTTATCAATCATGAAGAAATGTCAGCACAGGTATATAGTTACAGAAAGACTTAAAAATCAGCTGATTTTTCTACTGTTATTTTTTATTACTTTTTGATTTTTCAAGTTTGTAACAAAATTAATGCTATCAATTTTAATATGCTCAATCTGTGTAAATTGAGTAAACTTCTTCAGATACCGGGTTTCCCCATGGTCAATTTTTTTTGGCCGCCTCTTTCGCCAAAACAAGATTTTTTTTGCCATCTCACATAAACAGATTTTTATATAGGTCTAGTTTTTGTCGAGCCTTCGTCTTTTGTCGCAGAAAGCTCGGCATAGGGATACTGATCCAGCGGCGGCAGCGTTAGCTTACTTCTTAAAAGCTTAATATTTTAAAGGGTAGAAGACCTGGATGCTTCATACTTTGTATATATAGATGCCTTATGATGTGAAGTTTCTGTCTGTCATATGTCCATTGTCCTTGACCTCATTTTCATGGTTCAGTGACTACTTGAAAAAAAAGTTGATTTTTAGCTCACCTGGCCCAAAGGGCCAAGTGAGCTTTTCTCATCACTTGGCGGCGGCGTCGTCGTCGTTAGCTTTTCACAAAAATCTTCTCCTCTGAAACCACTGGGCCAAATTTAACCAAACTTGGCCACAATCATCATTAGGGTATCTAGTTTAAAAAAATGTGTCTGATGACCCAACCAACCAACCAAGATGGCCGCCATGGCTAAAAATAGAACATAGGGGTAAAATGTAGATTTTGGCTTATATCTCTGAAACCAAAGCATTGAGAGTAAATCTGACATAGGGTTAAACTGATTATCAGGTCAAGATCTATCTGCCCTGAAATTTTCAGACAAATCTGACAACCTGTTGTTGGGTTGCTGCCCCTGAATTGGTAATTTTAAGGAAATTTTGCAGTTTTTGGTTATTATCTTGAATATTATTATAGATAGAGATAAACTGTAAACAGCAATAATGTTCAGCAAAGTAAGATCTACAAATAAGTTGTCATGACCAAAATTGTCAGTCGACCCCTTTAGGAGTTATTGCCCTTAATAGTCAATTTTTAACAATTTTTTGTAAATTTTTGTAATCTTTTACAAAAATCTTCTGCTCTGAAACTACTGAGACAAATTTAACCGTACTTGGCCATAATCATTATTAGGGGATCTAGTTTAAAAAAATTGTCAGATGACCCCGCCTTCCAACCATCATGGCCGACTTGGTTAAAAATAGAACATAGGGGTAAAATGCAGTTTTCGGTTTATATCTCTGAAACTAAAGCATTTAGAGCAAATCTGACAGGTGGCAAAAATGTTCATCAGATTTAGATTTTATCTGCCCTGAAATTTTCAGACGAATCCGACAACCCGTTGTTGGGTTGCTGCCCCTGAGTAAGTAATTTTACAAAAATTTTGCAGTTTTTATTTATTATCTTAGATATCATTATAATATCTAATATCGTATACTATTAATTATGATTTTAACCTTATTTTACATGATTTCCAAAGCATCAGTAAATACAGGTCAAATGCAGGTGACCTGCATTTGACCTGTATTTACTGATGCTTTGGAAATCATGTAAAATAAGGTGAACAAGGTTAAGTTTTTGTGGTTTAGTCCATATCTCAGATACTATAAGCAATAGGTCTACTATGTTTGGTGTATGTAATGATTGTAAGGTGTACATGTCCAACTGGCAGGTTTTATTTGACCTTGACCTCATTTTCAGGGTTCATTGATCAATGTTAAGTTTTTGTGTTTTGGTCTGTTTTTCTAATACTGTTTGCAATCGGTCAACTATATTTGATGTATGGAAATATTTTAGGATGTACATGTCAGTCTGGCAGGTTTTATTTGACTTTGACCTCATTTTCACGGTTCATTGCTCAATGTTAAGTTTTTGTGTTTTGGTCTGTTTTCCTAATACTGTATGCAAAAGGTCAACTATATTTGGTGTATGGAAAATATTTTACGATGTACATGTCAACCTGGCAGGTTTATATGACCTTGACCTCATTTTTATGGTTCATTGCTTGTGTTAAGTTTTAGTGTTTTGGTATATTTTTCTTAAACTTTAAGCAATAGGTCAACTATATTTGGTGTATGGAATGATTGTAAGGTGTATATGTCTGTCTGGCAGGTATCATCTGACCTTCACCTCATTTTCATGGTTCATTGGTCAATGTTCAGTTTTCCTGGTTAACTTTGTTTCTTAGATACTATAAGCAATAGGTCAACTATATTTGATGCATGGAATGATTTTTAGGTGTACATGTCTGTCTAGCAGGGTTCATCTGACCTTGACTTCATTTTCATGGTTCATTGGTCAATATAGAATTTCCATGGTTTGGTCTGTTTCTTTTAGTTTTATACTATAAACAATAGGTCATCTATATTCTGTGTATGGAATGATTGTATTAAAGGTGTACAAGTATTTCCGACTTGGTTTATCTGACCTTGACCTCATTTTCTTGGATCATTAATGTTAATGTGATACTTGTAGTAAAACTTTATATGTAGGACTATCAACATAAAATCATTGGTCAGTCTAGTAGGCGAGACATTTTAGCGTGTGCACTCTTGTCCTTCTTGCTAACAAACAAATCCAGTTTGCAGCTTTGTTGTTTCTTTTAGAATTATTCTACATATCTATTTTATAACCTACATTGTAATAAATGAACAAAAATTTATTGTAATTTTTTTTACGTTATTGTAAAATTTGACTTCTGGGAACACTGGATTCATCTTCAGTTTATCATCAATCAGTTTATTTGATACTTTCTGCCTAGTTAAAAGACAAGGACTGACATTAGAGATTGTTCTTACTTTTATTCACTTCCTTTAAAACAACAGTTTTCTTTTCTGGACCATCAACAAAAGTAAAAGTTGAGACGTAAAACTTTACTTAAAACAGGTGTGCCGATAAAACGATATGAAGTACCCTCTTCAAAACAATTATTTTGATCAAAGTTTGTAAAACAATCATTTAGGTGACGTGTGATGCCATTTTACCTCACATTTTTAATAAACAATAGAATTAACACCTTTAATAATTAGTCCATTGTTGCTGATTGCTATCAAATGCAATCAGCTGATTATAGATTTTCTGTCAAAATCGATACGTGTGACAAGTTCAAGGTGAAATACGAGTATTGTCTGATCAAGGAAAAAGTCAGAGAAACTGGAAATAAAATTAACAAGATGGAAGTCTCACCGTTATATTTCTTTCGCCAGTCATGATTTTTAATCGCAACATTTACTATTTTTTCACAAAATGGTGACCACCAGCGGAAACACTGTCAGATACACTTGTTTTGAAAACCTTTTTTTTTTGTTGTAGTTGTGGGTATCAGTTTCATGGATCGAGAGAAAAAAAGGGGATATTTTATTTTTAGATTTTAACTAAATTCATACAAGCCTACAGAACAGGCAATAATCTTGCCGGCAAAATGATGATTTAAGTCACCAAAGAATTTTGAAAATCGCTAAAATTCGTCGGCCAGCTGACTTCTTAGCGAAGTCAAATTGCAATCAAAAGATAACTTGTGATTTACAAGTCGCACAGGTAAACAAAAATGGCGACTGACAGGTAAAATCGAGATTTTCGAAATGATCAAGGACTAATAAGGTTTATCAAAAGGAATTGAAAAATATGGCTGTGTTTACACCACAAAATCTACTGTGAGTACAGACATACTACTCACAACATTTATTATATGAGGGGAGCTTCTCAAACCTCTTTCCCAACTTAGTTTATTTTGGCACCTTCTGCAGGAATGAAAAAAAATGAATAGCAAAATCCAGAAAAGTTTATAATTTTCTGAAACATAAAATGCATTTAAAATTTAATTATTTAGTTCCTGCCATGCCTTAAAACTTTTCCAGGTGTACAGGTTTGTCTGTACTCAAAGTAAAATTTGTGGTGTAAATACGGCCATATTAGTCAAAAGGTTATGATCATCCTTAAATGAAATAAATACAACGGCAGCTTTGAACATCATTGGATTTTACATTCAAAACTATTAAAACGGGAAACTGAGCGTCTGTTTGAGTTATCATTTTACGATGATTTTCATCTGAGGATGTAGCGTAATCATTCTGACAGCTGATTTGTTTTATTTTTATTTATTACGAGTCGATCAGTAGGTTATATATTGGAATTAACTAATAATTTTTTTATATTCATTGAATAAAAATTGAAATATAAAAGGTAGAAAGACAGCTGATTGATAAATTGATTGCAAAAGTACGACACATGGACAGCTTATTACCAGCCGTTGTATTTTTTTCACAACCAATTGGTTAATAAGGGAGATATCTTTTATAAAAAAAATATTAGAAATAGCTCTTTATCGTTAATTAACATGTGATTGACAGATATCTTCATTTATAGGCTTACAATCTTTCAAGAGAATCTGAATTTACAACTGACATGATGTCCTGGTTATTCAATAAATATTGTTTTACAAACTTATGGCAAGTGATGATATACATTAAATTGCCCAGTCAATTAAAAGTCATCAGAAAAACTGGGAGTCATTTTTCTGGACCTTTAAGATAAATTGAGGCAGATGCACATGAGATTAATGCATGCTAATATTAATTGGCTAGCAACAAATTTTATTTAAACTTAAATTCAAGTTGACAGTACAAATGGTATGACTGATGAATAAATAACAACTAATATTGTCCAAACATTTTTATTTAGAATTTATTTATTGCATATATAAACAAATTCCTACAGTGATAAGCACGAAAACACTATGCATCTGAAACGGTAATGGAATTTCACTTCTCTCTACTCTCTCATGGAAGGAGAAGTCACTTCTCCCTCTCAAAAATCCTAGATTAGGCCCTGCTTCGGAAATTTGCATTTATTTGAGTACTTAAATTTGTGGTACACACTACCCACAGAATTGGACAATAATTAGTATACTGAGCTATAAAAAGCAAAAATAACAGCAAAAATTGTCAATTGATGCAACCTAAGTTATAGTACATTTACTTTAAAAAAAAAAAAAAAAAAGGTATCATAAGAATTATATTATTACCAAAGTACTGTACTTCTCACAAAAAATCTTGCGTCTGAAATTCTGAAATGTTCATGACTTACAAGTATTTTGATCCAATTTATTTTAAGCTATTTTAAAATAGTCATTTGTAGTCTGGTGATTTACATTGTTACTTTAGATTTTGTCCAGTATTGATATTGAAGTACCAAAGGCAGAACCTGGAGAAGAACCTGAAACTGTCATTGCAGGCACTCCTAGTGTTTATATGACTCTTGTCAAGGAAAAAGAGGCCATTGGAATATTGGATAAAGCTGTTGCCTTATGGGATACATTAGGAGATAATATAATTGATGCTAATATGTTATTACAATCGGTCATGATTTGTGCTCGTGTATACCAACTTTTGAGAAAGGTTTGTAGATGAAGTAACTGTAGATATTGATTGAGGGAGGGTCAACTCCAAGTCTCCATGTCTCCAAGAAATTATGGTAACAATTTAGTCATATGTATTTATAAGTCTAGTGAGAAATCTGTTCAAATTGGGAATTAGAATGGATATTGAGTCAATGTGCATGGGACCAAATCGGACAATAAATAAATTATGCATAAAGTGAGAGATCAAAGCTTATATAAATGTTCAAAATTGTCACTAGCATTGTAAGGAGCACTATCCGGTGTTATTTATCAAAAACTGTTATAAATGTTATATTGTTATTTAACTTTTTGTTTCGCCTGGATGGAGTCAAAAAACAAGACATAGGTATGCTGTTTCCAGCAGTGGTGGTGGGGGCAAAGTCGTCAACAATGTATTAGTTTGTAATTAGGTCAGTTTACCAGGAATCACTAATGGTAGGTCTGTGATATTTGGTATGCAGTTGTATTATTATTGGCACAACTCATTTCCATGTAGATTATTTGGCCCCGCCCCCTCAGTCATAGTCTATTGACTTTAAAACTTGTGCTTAGTATACATGTATTAGATTGTAATTAGGTCAGTTTATTGGGAACCACTAGTGGTAGGTCAATGATATTTGGTATGCAGTTGTATTAGCATTGGCTTATCTCATTTCCATGGAGATTTTTTTGCCCCATCCCCTTAGTCATTGTCTATTGACTTTGAAACTCTTGCTTAGTTTACATGTATCAGTTTGTGTTTAGGTCAGTTTATGGGGAACCAATAGAGGTAGGTCAATGATATTTGGTATGCAGTTGTTTTAGCTTTAGCACATCTCATTTCCATGGAAACTATTTGGCCCTGCACGCTCAGTCATAGTCTATTGACTAAAACTTTTGCTAAGTTTACATGTATAAGTTTATGGGGAACCACTAGTTTTAGGTCAGTGATATTTGGTATGCAGTTGTATTAGCATTGGCACATCTCATGTCCATAGAGATTATTTGCCCCCCCTTCAGTCATAGTCTATTGACTTTGAAATTTTGCATACCTTACATGTTAAAGTAAATCTATTTTTATTTCAACATTTGCATTTAAGTATCATAAAAACAAAAAGGCGAGACATATCTCTGTGTTAACAGTTTATTTTTGCAAATTTCACAATTATTTTTAAAAGAGTTATGCCCTTAGAAATATTAATTATATGGAAATTTACATTGTAAGCACTCTCACATGTACAATTTTTGTCAGATTTTTATCAAATTTATATCAAAGGCTAATATCAGCAATGTCACGGACAATTTTCGAAAATAATTGCCAATCAAATATTTTTAATGAGTTATGCCCTTTGAAATATTCAATATATCAGAAATTGCTCTCAAGTCTTCAACTCTCTAAGATAAAAAGTTTTAAAAAACAAAAACTAAAAAATGTGTTTTTAGTTATTGACCTTGAATAGATAAAATATGTGCAACGTGGGGGACATTGGAACCAGGGCTTCCAAAACGGTCATATATTCCGGACTTGACCGAAACTTTCATAAAAAGACCGGCTGCTCTCAGCCTCAAACGGTCAAATAGATTTGGTGTGCCACATTTTGTTATTCAAGGCATTTTCATGAAAAGGTCATTTCAATTTTTACCAACTATCGATCGATAAAAATGTCCGTTTGGGGCTTTGGGCATGTCCGTTTGGGCATTTTAGTTTATAATTGTGGCAATCTATTTCACAAAGATATTTCGGTCATAACTGGGTTTAATAAAACAGAAGCAGCATATTTCAGATACTTTGAAGTGTCTCAGTTAGTCTAATCCTCTGGGTACATAAATGTACGGCTTGGTCTTTAGCTTGTGTACATCAATAAAAAGTAGAAAAAACATGTTTTCTTTTATTTAAATAACAACAAGTTGTCAAACAATTATCCCTTGAATAAGTTATATTGAAGCCATAAATCATTCACTGATTACAGGTTTGTTACCTTTGATGAGGTGTCCTTAGCTTATCTTTATCAATAGAATTAATGATGCATAACAATGTACATAAAGGTAATCCGGTAAACGAGGTCAAACATATAAGCGTGTATGGAACAACATCCTATTTAATTACCGTTTATAGATATTATTTTAAATGAGCATTCAGTTTTAAAAGTATCCTCATATTTAAAAGTTATTCTTCAAATAAGGATATTTATAAATGAATAAGTATGATATATATTATTTTATTTAACACTGTACATCGTGTTAAATACTGGGGTACTCTCAAGGGGAAAATTTACTAAAATATATAGGAAAAACCAATGGACAAATTTCAGTCAATAAATGATTTAACTAAGTTAAATGGTGCCGTGATCACTTCTAAATTATATCAAGAGAACAATGCCTGCTCCGAATTTATTCAGACAATTTCCGATGTTATAGAGAAAGAGGTGATGTCCGACGTAAAGTTAAGTCCCGCCGTGGGAATTATGATCGACTAAGGTGTAGTCTAGGTATTGACGCTTTAGATCAACTTATGAGGATAAGCTTAGTAGGTGTAGATGTTAAAGACTTTGACCCTGTTCCTGCTATCCGCAAATGGCAATCCGTTCGTAACCGCCATGTTTATCAGAACAATGCATTTAGCAAGCTCATGAATGTAAAATCTTTAATTAGACTAAATGAACTCTAATCTTGTGCTGTGATCTGTGCTTCTTTTCAATGTGCTCATTGTAATATTTATTGGGTGTGTTTGTCAGCATTGTGCTCTTCTGACATTTTATTGTTGTTATATGCTTACATAAAATATCATGTTGTTATTCATTAAATTATTTATCAACTGAGTATGTTTTTATTTATTCCTTATTTTCTAAATCAGGTTGGGAAATTGTACAAAGAAAAATGTTATCACTGTTCAGTAGATTTTACACTGTTTAAAACAATATCCTTCATCGGGCCTCCTCAATGTTATCTATAAATACCGCATCAGTTGTAAAAGTCACGTGGTCAGGTAATCAATACACAAAAAGAAAAGTATCACGTGTATTGATGATCAAGTTGTACTGCAATTAAAGCCAACATCAACAGTTTCAAATAAGATGGCCTTAATTTACAAAGTGTTAAGTACTCACAGAGAGAAGATAGATTATATAAACAGAAACATAAACATGAGAACAGTCAGGTACTGAAGCTGATTGATGCAATGATGGTTACTGTATTACAATACACAGAAAAATGACACAATACCGAGGATAATATTTTATTTATTTTTAGAATGAAGAAAACAAAACAGTTATAAATAATTTTATTGCATATAACACTACTAATTATTTAGACACATATATCAATTTATGCATCCTCTCAGTTACATTTAAGTATCCAGCTGATCATTGACCGTCAAAAATATTTCTTTGAAAAATGTCCGGCTGTCGTCAGGAAATTTTGGAAGCCCTGATTGGAACTCTGTTCTTTTATTGAAGTTTAAATAACTGATTTTTTTGGGGTTTATTTTATACATGTAATAGCCTTAAACTAACAGTGCAGATGTGTTTACTTAAAATAGTTTTAATTTTTTTTTCAGCATGACCAACAGTTACATGTCATCAAAATGTACCATATGTTGGCTGACAACTATGTCTCCACTGTTACCTCAGATGCAACAAGTCTCTTCATAGAATCTCTCATATCTGTTGGCTTAGTATCAGATGCTAAACAGTTAATTGAGAGCTTGGATGACTGGGACCAACAAAAATGGAAGGAACAGACAACCCATTGTCAGATTGCAAAGTGCTGTTATAAATTATGTAGCCAACAGGTAATGTTAACCTACTTGAGTCATTCATATTGGTTGTCGTGTATTATTGGGTAGCCGTCTTTGTGTATTTGTTCATTTATATTTAGTTATTAATTTTGAAAGATATATATATGATTTTGTCTTAGTTGCAAGGAGTTCAGGAATCAGGATAACTTACAACAAAAAGCTTCAAAGGACTACAGAATAAGCAGACATTCAAACTCATAAGTTGAAGAAAACAAGACAAAACCAAGGCAAGAAACAAAAATAAGAAAAGATGACAAAACAATTCATAGAAAACTAAAGACTGAACAACACTAACCGCACAAAAAAACATTGTTGAACTCAAGTGCTAAAGAAGAGGGTTAGCAGTTCCTGCTCCACAAGTGGAAGGCATTCTGAATTTTAAATTAAAATACATACATGTATTAGATTCTTGACTGTTCGATTGATTTTTTGTGTTATGGATTTATAAACATTTACACCATTATTAGTCCACTACCGATGAAGTCAAAGGGAACTTTAGGTTTGCACTCAGTCCGTCTGTCCATCCGTCAGTCCGGCAAATCAGTTTTCCGCACTTTTTTTCTTCGTGCTTGAAGATATTGATTTGATATATAGGATATTGTTTTATCATGACAAGTTACAGATCAAGTTTGAATTTTGGTCCAGTCTAATGATTTTGTGCAGAGTTATGGTCCTTGGACTTAGAAAATTCACTCAAATAATCAGTTTTCTGCACTTTTTTTAAGTCATGCTTGAAGATACTGATTTGATAATTGGTATATAGTTTTATCATGACAAGTAACAGATCAAGTTTGAATTTTGTTCTGGTCTGATGATTTTGTGCAGAGTTATGGTCCTTGGACTTAGAAAATTCACTTAAATAATCAGTTTTCCACACTTTTTTTCGTCATGCTTGAAGATATTGACTTGATATTTGTTATATAGTTTACACCATGACAAGTTATAGATCAAGTTAGCATTTTGTTCCAGTACAATGAATTTTTAACCAGTAGGGGACTATGTATTGCCATGTAATACTCTCAGAATGCTTGTTCTATTGAAAAAGCATTAAGATATCACAGTGCTAAGCTGAGAACTCTTCAATTTAAATATTCTCTCCCACAAAACTTACCACTTGTGAACTTCTACATTGTATTTTTTTTAATTTTTTGTAGTATGATGAAGGAATGTCCATATTGAAGGAGGTACTGTCTGTGATTTCAGCACAGAACAAAACATGGTCAGTTTCAGTTCTTGAAGGCAAAGCTAAACGTTTGATGTCCCAATTTCTGACCTTTCCTCACAAAGGTAACTCTGATTACAGTTTAGATTATGCATATGAAGCTGTGAGGTTCCATACAGGAGTTGTACAGTTTCTTTTGGGGAAAGAATTTCTTTGTAAAGATGCTGATACAAGTAAAGGTATGATATTTTCATTGTATATGTTACATGTGAATGAGTGTATATAAATGATCTATACTTTCTTCTTGTACATTAATAAATGTTTTATTTCATTTTTCTGATCCTGTGCTTTATTAAATAAATTCATTTAAGTAAATCAAACATATTTCCTCTATGTCATATTTCTTTTCATTTTTTTGTTTGAAAAAATAACTATACTACTAGTATACAAGTGACATTAATGACTTATCTGTTGTCAGAGAAGTGAAAGGTCAATACACATTTATTTCATAAATAATTGCTTTTGCCATTAGAATAAGGAAAGTGTCATGATAATACTAACTTTATTTTATAGGAAACTCAGTAGATCGATGGACTGCCTTGATAGAAGTTTTAGAATCTCTTTATAATCTAGGATATTTGTACTATCACATTGGCGAAGCAAGAGAAGCTAAGTGTTACTTAAAAGAGGGATGGAAAATAGCTCGATACTTTGGTCTCCCTTCATGGTAAGTTAAAAAAGTTAAAGTTGTCCCTTGTCCAGTGTTAACATTCTGGAAACGTTTTAATCTGATATTAACATTAATATTTAAAACATTTGTATGATTCAAGTTTTTCTATTTTGAAATCTTTCATTTTTGCTTATTTCGCTATCAAATGTAAGTAATTGGGCCATATTTAATATTTTGATGAAATTTTGTATGTGTTTAGAACTGGTTAAACTGCATCTGAATATCAAAAAAATTATATAAGTAGCATAATTTGAAGATAATGTCAATTAAAAATTAGGGAAATAAATATACAAATGCATTGAATGTATTAAAAAGCAGCAAAAAATATTCATTTTCCCACTATAAATTGTGATTTCCTAAAAATCTGGATCATTTTGTAAGCTTTGCCTGCAGTACCTCTTTTTCTGTTTGTTACAAATGAAAATAAGAACTATCAGTTCAATTTTTGTCTTGGATTGATGACCAATCATTGTAACAGGCACAATACCTGATTGTTAGTTATATTATGCACTAGAGCACTTGCCTATGGTTTTATTTAATGTGATATTTCAATTTCTAAGATTGTGGAATTACCGTTTTGTTTTGATTATGTGTAGAACTTTTTGGGCTTATTTTCATGTGCATATAAAAACCAATAGATATTTATATCCTACATTATATCATATAAAAACCAAATTTATTTAAATCTTTGCATAATCCAAGTTCTTACTTGTGTTGCAGGAATATCAAGTTTTCAACAGAGATAGCAAAACTTCACTGTACAAGTGATAAGGGAGAAGAAGCTGTGAAATATTTGTCTGAAATTTATAAAGTTTTATCTCCAACTGCTACAACAGAACTTCCTGTATCTGAGATACTTGTTCCAGAATGTATAAATCATATTTTAGGACAAGACTTATGTAGCTGTTGTAAGGATAATTTACTGCCGATATTAAACCTAGTTCCTATGGTTACTGAAGTATACATTGTAATGGAACAGGATAATGAAGCTATACTAATGCTAGAAAAAATGGAAGTAGCTGTCCGTCAGTTGATAAAAGAAAGGAATCGTGGGGATAACTTTAAAAACTGTGTTATGACGAAAGAGTTGAACTTTTTACATATGGAAATCCTAATCTATTTAGCTGAATTGTGTTTGAATCAGAATATGTCAAGAAGTCAGCGGCTGCTTAAACAAGGAGAAGATATCAGTGGATCAGATCAAAGTAATTTAGTAATGCAATCTAGGCTAAAACTTTGTCAGTCATTATGTGGATTTAATCAGCAAAGTTTTCATAGGTCCTCATCTGATTGTGATACAGTAACGGTAAAGGATGACTCTACTCAGGACTTGTTTGACTGCTTACCTGTTGTTAATCTATCAAAGAAATTTGAGAAGATGTCTATGAAGCACAAGAATGAAGTTGAAAATACCAGTAAACATATTTTAGCAAAGAAAAACATTGGTGGGAAGGAAAAGACACAGTCAATTGATTTGGATAGTGATGCCATGGAAACCAATGTGGAGATTCATGATAATGTTAAAACTGAGAATGTTAAAAGTGTGAAAAAAACAAGAAGAGAACCAACAAAAAACAAATCAAAAAAATTAAGTATGGAAGAACAAGATAAAGGTGAAGTTCTAGTCAATCATAAAAATACAATGGAAAACACTGAAAAAAATGTTGATGATGATTCTGAAGAAATCAGTTCAATTAAAGAAAAACCACAAAAGGGACCAAAGTTGAAGAAAAATTCAAAATTAAAGAATGTAACAGAGTTTTCAACAGAAGAGAATGAAGCTATGGAAACTCCTATCAAAACTCAGCCAAAGTTGTTGATGAAGACACCAAGAAGTGTTTGTAGTCGTAAGGCTGTTTTGGATTTGATAATGGACAGTGATGAAGATGATATACATGTAAAACCTCTGACTTCTGTTAGGAAAAAGCGACCAGGAAGTAAAAGACAGTCTGCACAAAACTCCTTGAGCAGCAATAAGGATATTTATAATTTCAATGATGAAGAAAATACAACAAAATCAGGTGATGTCAAGAATAAAAAGGGTAGTGTTAGATGTAAGTCTGTAAGATCAAGGAAAGGTAAAGTTGGGAATGAACAAACAATAGATGTTGAAACAACACGTCACAGTATCTCGGATGACACATCAGTAGATTTAGAAATTACAAGTCCTAAGACAAAATCAAATAAAAAAGAATCAAAGATACCTAGACCTACAGCAAAGTCTAAGAACCAAGTTAGCAAGAATAAGACTAGGTCCAAATCTAAAATGATGGATGTAGATGGGCAGAGTATTGAAAATGCAAGATTAAAACAAGATGAAAATGAATCAAAGCTATGTGATATTTATGAGTTTAATGAAAATGAAGAAGAAAAAACAATTTGTAAAAATGCTAATGTAAGGAAAAATTGTAAGAAAACAGTGACTACAAGAACCCAGAGATTACAAAGGTCAAAGGTTGATGGCACAGAAAAGACACGATCAGATTCTGAATCTGAAGACGAGAAATTGTTTAGAATGGATGACAGTCTTACCGTCAAAGATGATGAATCAGGTATCTTCAATAAGAAGTAATATTCATTTAAGATATTTTATGAGTTTAATGTTGTACTGAAAAGAACCAAGAATTTTGTTTTAAATATTATAACTGAATCTACAATTCGAAAATGTATGAACCAATGTGTATTTTGAAGAAATAAAGCATTTTCATACAAAATTTCAATTTGCAGATGATTAATGAATGCAGTTAAACTGATTGATGTTTTTCTTTGAAAAAATATCAACCTTTTCTCTAATTCAATACTAAATAATTAGAATTAATCTGATTTTTAGGAAAATTTCAATCTAAAGTGACAATAGACAAATCTATCTTAAATAACAAAAATCAGAAGTCACTACTATGTCCATTGTAAGATTGATATTGAACAAAAATTGATCTATACATTGTTTTTGAGTAATCATTGATTTGAAATATTATAAACTAGAGAGAGGGCTATAGTTTTTCATGGTAAAAAATGGTATTAGATGAAAAGTAATTCTTTCACCAGTGGTTAAAATAGCAAAGCGAGATTTAAAAGAGCTATTATTTGACAATGAATTTTTAAATGAAGGAAGACTGAGAAGTAAAATGGATAGTGCACTTTTATATAAAGTTTTTATGTAAAATAGATAATGTCTAAAGTTTCCTTCAACCATAGTCAACCATTCTTGTTTTTTATACAGAAATGATAGATACAGATCTTGGTGAAGATGTTAGTTTTTCCGTCCAGTCACAAGATGATGTTTATGAATATGATAATCTAATTATACATGAGGTCACAGAAAATGACGGTAAATTAGAAAGTGGTGATTAAACTTACAAATATGAATAAAAGGAATAATGTATTACAAATTTTATTGCAGAACATTATTTCAGTCCTGCTTCACACAAGAAAAAAAAGAAACTAGTGCATCATATTTAAAGCAAATAAATATCTCATTAAATATTAGTAAGCACTTCATAATTTTTGTTCAAAGTAGGAATGATGAAAACTTTTGCATATAATATAAGAAGAGGATATAGATGACCATTACAACAATGTGAATGATCTTGAATAAATTGTCTCCTTTCAACAAAATGACTCCTATCACCCAAGCAATATGATCACCTGTACTATAATGAAAGTTCTGATTGAACAGTTGATCCAGACATAACTTTAAATTACAGAACTAGGCAATACACAGAAACAGTCTTGGTTTTCAATATTCTATATGCATATTTGAAAAATAAATTGCGAAGGATTCTTTATGCATTGTGTCTATTGTGAATAGCAACTTCAAGGAAGACAACCCATTATTGTAATTATTATTTCAAGTATGATTGTACTACAGCATGATTAGTGAAGTTAGATTGTTGTGCATTATTCAAGATATGATGAATTTCTTAATTCTTACAACAACAACAATACTTTATTCTCTAAAAACCAATACAGATATGCCTAATTGTCAGTTCTTGACTACTTTCAGAAATTAGTTTAAATGAGTCAATAGAAATTTTCCGAGGTGATAATAAAGCTGGAAAGGGAACCAGGAAAGGAAGGACTCAGAAGAAAGCAGAAGATTCTGAAGAGCAAGCTTCAGGGGAGACAACTGAAGTCCTAAGGTCCAGCAAATTGTTAAAAAGAAGTCAAGTGAAATCAGAAAAAGTTGTCAAGATAGATTCTGTTCCAAAGACTGACAGTCAAACTTGTAAGAATTTAAAAGATTACTGATTAAGAAACAGGAAAATCAAGTTAAATACATCTATTTTGAAATGTAGGAAGTTGACATTATCAAACCTGCATAGCATTCTAGGATTGACGAAGGTTTAGCAAAATAAAGATATATATAGAAATATCTGATGCAGAATTTATGAGCTTGTGCTGATTACACAGAATCTATGGTTCAATTAAACTTAACAAGATATGTTACATTACACTTTATTAATTAACTATAATTTTCAATACTTGTTTTATATTCTACAACTTTACAAAGACAGGGGAGTTTATATAATTTTTTTTACACTATTTACAGCTAATAATCAACTAATCCAGACTTTAGAGGAAGCCTATAAACAAGTCCAGCATCTTCCATCACCAACCATGTACTCCTCCATATGTCACATGCTTGCCCTGCAGTACATTGATTCATTCTCATTAAAGGCAGCATTCTACCTAGCAGAGTCAATAGCAGTGACATTCAGACATCAGTCATTGGTTAATGCTTCCAGAAAAATCAGGTATAGAAAATGTAACTGCTATCACAGCATTATTGAGTTAGTTGGGTTATTTTATGAAGAAAGATTGGTTTACAACAATGTTATTCTGTCTGATATACATGTCAACTAAAATTCAATAAATCACTTCCCATACTAAAAGCTCTTCTTGCATACAAGGAATAAAGAAGATCTTTTGGCATTAACATATCTGACAGTAGATTAAAAACGACAATGATAACTATGATAGTAATTCTAAACATTCTTATCTCATTTAAAAAAAGGTGGTAAATAAAAAACGTTGTTGTTACATTTTGTCAAAAAAAGGTTGAAATCATAAAACATCCAGGTCATATTTTGCAAAACAATAAAAAAAAGGAGAAAAATGGAAGCTACCAAGATATACTGCAGGTTACATAAAGATTGCTTTTTATCCTTATTCTATTGAAAAAAAACTCTGGTCGTTGATTGAAAAAATATAATAGAATAATATTAATTTTTGAAATTTTTGTTGACTATTTTACATCATTCTACACATATGTTCATGTCTATTGCAATGTGAATAGTATGTCCAAATAAAAAAGAGATCTTTTTTCAAAAACTTACAGCTTCAAATTCAGTAAAATGGTTTATAATTTAAAAAATCTCTTTGATAGATGCACCATTCAGTTACACTTGTATTATTATGTTTGTAGAAAGTCCAGCAAGTTAAATGAAAGTACAGAAGCTGCTGTTAGGGAAAATGCCTCAGCAGAAGTTAACAATTTACAGAAAAGTCAAGAAATATTGCATTTTAATAAAACAGAAGAAGAATTCAAAACAATGATGACACAAATACCAGAAGGTTTGTATCTTATTAACTCGGTAAATTTACCAGATATGTTATTCAAAATGTCAGAAAATTCCTGGAAAATTTAACTCAAACATCCTGCTATGAAGAAAGAGATACTGTAAACTAAATTATTTTCACGGATACTTTATTTGAGTTTAGCTCTTTCAAGCCAACTTATGCCAATTAAATTTCACGATTTTCAAATTTACTTGAAGTATTGAAATAAGTTAAGATCCCCGTTTTACATAGTCATGACCATTTTATTTGCGATGTTTTTTTACTTGTGAAAGTCGTGATAATTAGTTGGTTTCCAGTATATAATGATTGAGTTGTCTGTAACTTTTAATCATGTTTGTAATTTTTTTGGTAAGCTTCAAGGACTGAATCTTTGGTGTGTGTAGAAAACGAACATACTAAATATATGTTAAAAAAATGTAATATGTATAGGAATGATGCTGAAAGATAACTTTTTTGCTTATTATAGATTGGTCTGTTTGCCAGATATCAGTAATTTCACAAAGTACTCCTGCTGTGATAATGATAAGTCGACTTGATAGAGAAGGACAGCCTGTTGTTGAACAGCTACCAGGGTTTAATTCAGAACAGGTATAAAACATCTTCTAATGGATAGTTGACAACTCATTGTTTAAGTCCAAATTGATAATGGGTGGAACAACAAATTTGTGCTTCTGCATTTCATTGTTTATCTAAAAGTTTAATACATTAGAACTTATTCCATGGACACCTATACTTAAAATGACTGATACTGTCACTTCTGAGATAGAGACATGTGAGTATGAGGCTTTTTTGTAGGTGAAAGATTAAAAATATGGTTAGTTGCACTGTAGAGAGGGAGGGTCAATTTATGACAAAAGTGATTAAATATTCAACATTCCATTTACAATATACTTAATTTATTTGATTATTATTAACTAAAAAGTAGATGCAGCAGTCATCACAGTAAAATAGTTATATACAGTAGCCATATTAATAATTAGAAAAGACAACTTTATGACAGACTACTAACAAAACCATGTATTTATTACATTTATGTTCATTTGTATACAGGGAAGAGAAATACTTTCAGAATTCTCCACAATCATCAATGAAAGCAGAGAGACAATGAAAATAACAGAAAAAAATGATTGGTGGAAATTGAGAAGAGGTTTAGATACGAGATTGCAGGTTAATATTGATCATGTTACACATAATCTTTAAAAATTTAAATGGAAAAAAAATTGATGTGTTTGATAATATTATTAACACCAAAATTTATCGCATGCAAATCAGCAAGGATCATGACAACTGAGTATTTAAAGTTACTAAATTCTGCCATGGTGGCCAGAAAATTCTTTTTCAAATTACTACTAAATTTCAAGAGGTAAATGCTTGGAAGCTGAAATACCTTGCCGTAGAAAGATATATGAATCACTAAGAATTTTTAAAGACATGCATGTATTTTTATAATTTATTACAGAAATTACTAGATAACATGGAGAAGTTATGGCTGGGAAGATGGAAGTTTTTGTTGCTTGGTAACCCAGTTGGTGTAAGTGCTGATGACCTGTATCAAATGACAGAAAATATTATGAAGATGCTAGCTGAACTTTCTAACCGACCAATCAACAGAGCTGTTATAAGAGTATGATTTGCTTTATAAATCATCCTTTTTTTTATAAAAAGTAATACTATAAATGGAGGGGGGTGATTATATAAGAAAAAGAAATGCTTCTGCATTTAAGGTTAAAATCAGGAGACAAAATAAGTATGAAAAACATGGTGACAAGTTTAATGAATAAAGTCCAATGTGTGATGACAAAAAATGTCTACTTTCTAAACCCTTTACAGTTTAACTCAATATGTGGACATAGACATTCTCAAATGGCAAAGATTAACATAAGTGATAATCTCTCAGACTGCTTCACAACATGTTTAATCATTTACAAAAAACATCAGGCGAGCATCAGTGAGACAGCAACTAAACAACACTCCAACACCAAAAATAAAAATCTTGAGTTAATTCAAGGTCTTCCAAGAATTTTTTTGCCTTTAAAACATGACAAGTTTTGAAAGAACTTGGATTACAAAAAAACAAAAATTATTCTTTGACCTACAGTTGACTTGTACTGGAGGTAGGAATAGAAAGGCTGTTCACAATTGTTGTAAGATATAAGACAAAATTGAACTTTCAAGTATCACAGAAAATTTATTATTTGAGAATAAGTTACACTCATTACATCTGTTTGTACGTATTGTACATTGCAGGCATTACTCCAGAGTGGTAACGTTCTAACCAGTGACCAGTTAAATCAGGTGTTGACCAATCTAACTGACACAGATGAAGTATCAGAAGTATCTAAAGCTATTACACAGTTCTGGAATAAACACATTCCAAGTGATGTCAAACGACATCATGTCATTCTACTGTTAGACAAGGTTTGTTATTATAAAAGAACATGATATGAATCATCTCAAAATGTCTCCCTGTGACATCAAATGACATGTCATTCTGTTGTTAGACAAGGTTTGGTTTGTTATTGTCTTATATGAATGATATAAGGTGTTACTTTACCAGTTTCATCATCTACAACTCTTGTTCAGTTTTCTGATAAAGTCTTGCTAGCTGTTTGCAGGGTATGTGGCCTTACTTCATAGGTTGTTTTATAGTGACTTTAAAAATTTAAACGTATATTTTATATGCTGTTTAATTCACATTCCTGTATTTTAATTATGAGAATACAAGGATACATCCACTTATTCATGCTTCTGTGACTTTGACATCAAACAGTACTATTCTATTCAAGATTTTTGTTCTAATTCAGGGCTGTTCCAGAAAAAAGTCTATGTCCCACCCGGGGACGGCAAACGGTCTTTTTTTCCATGGGTGGTCGTGTCAGGGAAGAAAATATTTATGTCAGTGGTACCCTTAGAGATAAATTTATATCTATAGATAGTGGTTATCTGGGAGTTAATTAATAACATATAGGTGGTGGGTTAATCCCTTATGTGTGCATGTTTCCAGTGATGACACGATTTTGGCACAAATTGTTACTAGATAGTTGCAGAGATTTGCTTAAACACGGTCGCATTTGAACTCTGTGTACTGAACAAACCGCTCCGTTGGAGTTGTTTCCTTTTACATTGCATATGAAAATTACGGAATATTTTTTACTTTTAACCGAAGCGAATCAAATGTTTTTTTGGTCTAAATAGTTGGTTTATTCATAAGATTCACGCAGATTGATATATGAAGATTTAAAATTTAATCAATTGTTACATCCCATCTATTGATGGCAATAAACTCTTAAAAACACCCTTTTTTTACGGTTATTTCGTTTCGTTGAAATCTGATTAATTGGCACATGGTACAACAACAATCGGCAATCCTCGGGTGAATCCACTGCTCTTTCACGGAATCGGCTGAGTTGTGACAAATGGGTACAACAACTGTAGTCTGGCATTCCGGCCCGATCTGGCTGTGCATATACTGACAAGTTGAGCAAGGACTCCAGGCTACAACAACTGTTGTATTTTAGAATGCCCCGCCGTAATTTAATATCGGTTGTGCAATTCACTTGGACCGAAATCAAAATTTTGTTGGCCGACATTTATTGAATTTCGTAACTTTGATTGAACAGTTTTGAAGCGACAGAATACAAATACGATTCATGATTGAATCTCATAGGGGAAAAATCGATTTGTACCTCTACGAATTAAAAATTTAAAAGGGAACCAGGCGATTGTTTGAGTTATAATTTTACGGTGCATGGGATGAAAATTACCACTGGCACGGATTACATAAACAATCCGATGTTTGTTTATATTTTCTATTTATACTATTCGGTCGGTTGGGATTGGATGTGAATTTACGACGGCTTTCATACTGCTGTTATCTTAATAAAATTAAAGTTAAGAATATAGCTGATTTGTTTTGAATAGTATGAAAAATCAACAACGTTTCAATAAAAAAAACACAGATGGAAAAAAGATGAAAAGCAGAAGAATATATGTATAGTAAGTCTTGCTATACAAATCTTTGGATACCCTTAATCTATTTGTACACTTATAAGCCAAGATAGTTTTGATTGGTATAAACATGCAAGATCCAAAAGGCATTTAGCACTTCTTTTGTGCATCTTAAAAACAATGCATCGCATATGCTCTTTGTCATGCATTAGTCCACTTTCACAACACATCGATCCTTAGACAATCAGTATCAGTGATCCAGTATTAAAGTTTATAACTGGACTTATTGATTGAAATGAGGCAGTTCCACAATGAACATGATTAAGATTATATTAGCTGAGTCTAGTCCTATAATACAAGACTTTGTAGGTTCATAACGTTTGCATTCAACGTTTTTTATCGGATATTTTTTTCTTTACTATCAATGCAAAAAAAAATATCTGATAAAAAACATTGAATGCAAACGATATGAACCTACGAAGTCTTATATTATAGGACTAAGCTGAGTCTAGAAGTGATAATTTTATTACAAAAAGGAATTAAATTAACAACCTAGTAGTAATATACATATCTTTATTTCTTACCAATGAATATGAAACAATGGTATATTCGATTAAATCCCTATCAATTACAGGGCCTTTATATCTATGTAAAGAGTGCCCTTAAAGTGTAGCCAATACCGCTAAGAGTGCCCACTGAGAAAAAAAACCCTGCCCTTTTCAAAAGCTGCAGGAAACACTATAATAAAGGAACAACAAAAACTCACAAAAATATTAAATTTCTCATTATAGAATCTCTTTATGGGACTTAGTGTTCTCTCTATCTCTGTACTGTTTGCTTTTGATTTTCATTGCAACAAAAATTAATCTATGGGTGGTGGTCTTCAAAGATTTTTTTTAAGATTCCATAGGTTGTTGTTCTTGACATAATCTAAATTATATAGGTGGTGGTATAAAAATTTAATTGATTTCTATAGGTGTTGGGGGTTAAAAAAAAAGTGCCGTCCCTGGGGGGGGGACATAGTATTTTCTGGAACATCCCTCACAGTTTATAGATAATAGCATCATGTCCAAAGACAAATAAAGAATAAATTTAATTTTTGAGTTATGTCAGTTATTCCAGTGCATTTTTATTGTCGAGCCTTCGACTTTTGTCGAAAAAGCGAGACATAGCGATCCTACATTCTGTCGGCGTCGTCGTCGGTGGCGTCCACAAATGTTCACTCTGTGGTTAAAGTTTTTGAAATTTTAATAACTTTCTTAAACTATCCTGGATTTCTACCAAACTTGGACAGAAGCTTGTTTATGATCATAAGATAGTATCCAGAAGTAAATTTTGTAAAAAAAAATTCCTGTTTTTCCGTATTTTACTTATAAATGGACTTAGTTTTTCTGCCAGGAAACATTACATTCACTCTTTGGTTAACGTTTTTTTAAATTTTGATATCTTTCTTAAACTATCCTGGATTTGTACCAAACATGGACAGAAGTTTGTTTATGATCAAAAGCTAGTATCTAGAAGGAAATTTTTATTAAAATTTTATACTTGTTTATCCATATTTTACTCTAATATAAATGGACTTAGTTTTTCTTCCAGTTAACATTACATACAGTCCGCAGTTAAATTTTTTAAAACATTTATTAGATTCATAAACTATCCTGGATTTTTACCAAACTTGGACAGAAGCTTCTTACAATAAAAAAAATCGTATTGAGAGGAATATTTTTATTAAATTTTTTCCTCATCTCATTTTTGTTGAGCCTGCCATTAACAGCAAAAGTAGGCGAGACACTGGGTTCCGCGGAACCCTTAGGAATTTTATTTCAATGTTTTTGGAAATAAAACATTTAAGGAAGTTGAGAATTGATATGACAACTTTTGTTTGAACAATAAGGTAAAGCTTAAATTATTCATCTTAAAAAATCAACAGCATCTGCATGTAAAAGAAGTTCCGATTAATTGAAGCATTGAGAATATTAATACAAAATCCTAGAAGATAAAATGAAAAAATTAAAGAAAACAGTAAATTACTACATTAATATCTTCCTTGGAAAGATGAATGTCTGTTTGAACAATAACTTTCAAAAGTGTAAAATAACATGTTTGGTTATTATTTATAGATTTCTAAATTTGATTGCATTCTGTACCTAAAAATAGATTCATTCATATATAACTGATGTTCCATAAGTTGCTCATTATTGCTATCATTTAAACAAAAGAAAGTTCTAACTTAAAATATGTCTTATACTTTTTATTTACAGATGCTACAACATCTTCCTTGGGAGAACTTACCCATTCTTAGATGTCATTCTCTATCTAGACTACCTTCCCTTTATCATATGATTAATTACCTGTCACAAACGTTGGAGAATACAGGTGTATCTATTGTAGATAAACAGAAGGTTTATTACGTACTGAATCCAGACAATAATTTACCTGCAACACAAGAAACTTTCCAAGAGTGGTTCTTAAAGTAAGAATAAACATTTATTTCAAACTTTTTTATTGGAATGATATGATATGACATGAATTAAATGGAACACTTTTCATAGAAATAGACTAATATCAAGTAAATTTTCAGTTTTAGATAATCACTTGACAGTTGGGCCTTCTTGGACCTTTGTGAAGTGACATTTATCACAAGTTGTGTCCAACAGGTTTCTGTATGATTTTTGTCGAGCCTTCGACTTTAGTCGAAAAAGCGAGACATAGCGATCCTACATTCTGTCGGCGTTGTCGTCGGCGGCGTCCACAAATATTCACTCTGTGGTTAAAGTTTTTGAAATTTTAATAACTTTCTTAAACTATCCTGGATTTCTACCAAACTTGGACAGAAGCTTGTTTATGATCATAAGATTGTATCCAGAAGTAAATTTTGTAAAAATAAAATTCCATTTTTTCCGTATTTTACTTATAAATGGACTTAGTTTTTCTGCCGGGAAATATTACATTCACTCTGTGGTTAAAGTTTTTAAAATTTTAATAACTTTCTTAAACTATCCTGGGTTCGTACCAAGCTTGGACAGAAGCTTGTTTATGATCATAAGATAGTATCCAGAAGTAAATTTTGTAAAAAAATAAATCCATTTTTTCCTTATTTTATTTTAAATGGACTTAGTTTTTCTGCCGGGAAATATTACATTCACTCTGTGGTTAAAGTTTTTAAAACTTTAATAACTTTCTTATTCTATTTTGGATTTGTTCCAAACTTGGACAGAAGCTTGTTTATGACCAAAAGCTAGTATCTAGAAGGAAATTTTGTAAAAATATAAATCCATTTTTTCTGTATTTTACTTTTAAATGGACTTGGATTTTCTGCCAGGAAACAACGGTTAAAGTTTTTAAAATTTTAATAACTTTCTTATACTATTTTGGATTTGTACCAAACTTGGACAGAAGCTTGTTTATGACCAAAAGCTAGTATCTAGAAGGAAATTTTGTAAAAAAAATAAATCCATTTTTTCTGTATTTTACTTTTAAATGGACTTGGATTTTCTGCCAGGAAACAACGGTTAAAGTTTTTAAAATTTTAATAACTTTCTTATACTATTTTGGATTTGTACCAAACTTGGACAGAAGCTTTTTTATGATCAAAAGCTAGTATCTAGAAGGAAATTTTGTAAAAAAATAAATCCATTTTTTCTGTATTTTACTTTTAAATGGACTTGGATTTTCTGCCAGGAAACAACGGTTAAAGTTTTTAAAATTTTAATAACTTTCTTATACTATTTTGGATTTGTACCAAACTTGGACAGAAGCTTTTTTATGATCAAAAGCTAGTATCTAGAAGGAAATTTTGTAAAAAAATAAATCCATTTTTTCTGTATTTTACTTTTAAATGGACTTGGATTTTCTGCCAGGAAACAACGGTTAAAGTTTTTAAAATTTTAATAACTTTCTTATACTATTTTGGATTTGTACCAAACTTGGACAGAAGCTTGTTTATGATCAAATGCTAGTATCTAGAAGGAAATTTTGTTTTCTTCCAGTTAACATTACATTCAGTCTGCAATTAAAGTTTTTAAACATTTATTAGATTCATAAACTATCCTGGATTTTTACCAAACTTGGACAGAAGCTTCTTACAATCAAAAGATAGTATCAAGTTGAATATTTTTAATGATTTACTTCCTCATTTTTGTTGAGCCTGGGATTAACAGAAAAAGTAGGCGAGACACTGGGTTCCGCGGAACCCTTACGAATTTTTTTTTATGTTGCTGCACATAGGAAGGAAATTGAGTATCAGTATAGTGTGTTATGGGTGCAATGAACTAATGAAGTATGCTATATGACAATACAGGATTACAAGTCATAAAGCTTACAACTTCGATAATATTTATAAAGATTACAGAGCAAATTATTTCAATATAAAACAGTACAAAATATAAGATTTCACCAACTAATAGACAGAGAGTAGCCTTCAGTTCTAGGCTGGTTTTGTCTAGAAATCTTGAATTAATTTTTAATTGAATGTCTGTTGTATTTTGATTTTTTTTATGAAACTTACTTTATCATTAATTGACTTATTAGATAGTGATCTATTGTCCATTTTGGTATGTTGCTCCTCTTAACATAGACAATCAATATTTATACATATAGTTTCCAACAATGATTTGTAAATAAAAATGCACATCAATTGTATTATATTTATCATAATCTGTCTTTAACATTGCTGCATACATCATCTTTGCTTAAATTTGATCTAAAAATCCAAACATAAAGAGCATAATTTGTTGTTTTTTTTGTATAATATTTCTAAGATTTTCTTTGTTTCAGAACTAAAGGCTGGCAGGGTATTGTTGGTAAACCTCCTACAGCAGAACAATACAAGGCAGCTTTGACTCAGTATGATTTGTTAGTGTAAGTAATTAAAAATAAGTTGGTTCTATAAATCTACAAAAGCAACTTGTCTAACGAGTAGTACAATGTATGTTACAAATTTACCTGAAGAATATTTGTCTTACCTGCGACATTTTTAATACAATATATAAGGATACTAATTTGATGTTGACATGGCCATAAACTAGTTTTATAAAGCTTTAGATTTTAACAGCTAGAAGACCCTAGATGAATCATATCTTGTATAAAGATGCCTTATACTAGGAAGTTTTTGTCTGGCATATATCTGTTGTCCATGGCCTCATTTTCATGGTTAACAACTCTTAAAAAAGTATAGTTTTTATCACATGATTTTCTCACTTATTTTGAGTAATTTGACATTTATATTTTATATATAGAATCATTGCAAGGTCTACATGCCTGTCAGACAGGGTTCACCTGACCTTGAACTCATTTCATGTTTCGGTGATCAATATCTAGTTTTTTCACGGTTATGTAGGTTTCTCTGGTACTAGCAGACATAGGTCAATTGTATTTGGTATATGGAAAGATTGTAAGGTGTACATGTCCATTTGGTCAAGTATGAATTTGACCTCAATTCATGGTTTATTGGTCAACGTTAAGTTGTTTTGTTTGGGTCTGTTTGTCAGATAGTGATAGCATAGGTCAACTTTATTTGTTTTGTTGAATAATTAGAAGATGTATGTGTACGTCTTGTAGGGTTCAACTGACTTTGACCACATTTTAATGGTTCTTTGAACAACATTCAGTGTGCGTGGTTAGGTCTGTTTCTTGGATACTATTAACAATAGGTCAGTCTGGCAGGGATCATCTTACTCAATGTTCATTTTGTCTGTGTCAAGTATTTATGGTTAGGTCTGTTTCTTAGATACTATAAGGAACAGGTCAACTGTATTTGGTATGGAATGATTGTAAGGATTTCTGTCTGGTAAGGTTCAACTGATCTTAACCGCTATTTTCTTTGAATTGTGCTGATTTGAAATATGCAATAAAAGGTTACCAGCAAGGCTAAAAATTATGTTAAATTCTGTTTTGCAGATACTGTGGTCATGGTAATGGTAACAAATATCTGAATGGAGATGACCTACAACAACTAAAATGTCGAGCAGCAGTATTTCTTATGGGATGTAGCAGTGGTCAGTTACAGACTCGAGGGCAGTTAGAAGCTTCAGGAATGATGCTCAATTATTTCCTAGCTAATTGGTAAACATACTAATAAATTTCATTATTATTCATAGCAATAATTGCACGTGGTAAAATATTCTCACACAGTATTTTCATTGCATTTAAAATTTCTTTACAAAACCATATTGAAGACTATGATGACAAAGATGTCTGCTTTTTGTATACTTGTGTTGATATGTAGATGTCTCGTAGCAGTTGTAGTGACTTTTTACTTGAAAGTAATTTTAAATGGTCCTCGACCTTTCACTATTTAAAGCAAATTTGAACCCCTAATACAGTAACATTACATATCATTTAAAAATCAGAAACTCATTTCACAAAAAATGTTTCTGTGGATTGATTAATATTTTGTGGGATACCAGTTTTCGTTGATTTCGTGCGTAATGGTGAACCACGAATTTAAATGTTCAACGAAGAAGAAATTTTATATTGGCTTGTATGCAGCCTTTTGCAAAACCACGAAATCAAATATCAACGAAAATACCATATTCCCAAATCCACGAAAATTGGTACCCACGAAAATAAATGAATCCACAGTATGATTAAACTTGAACAGAAGTTAAAGTTAAGTGTTTTCAGACATAAGAGTATTTTCACTGTTGAGATTTTTGTTTGTAAAAGAGTTGCAGCTTCTTAAGAAATCATGTATTATAATAAATGACAGATTGTTTCTAAAAAAAACTATAGTAAGTAGAAGATAGTCAACAATCACAGATTCCTAGGCTTATAAAAGATTAAAGATCCTTTTGAAGAAAAAATAATAAAATATACATGTAAATAGATGAAATAATAAATATGAATATTAATATATTTTTACAGTCCATGCATTGTTTCCAACTTATGGGATGTTACAGACAAAGATATTGATCGATTTCTAGAACATCTATTACAGTCTTGTCTCTCTGATAAACCTTGTGATGTTTTATCTAAGATATCCACTGCCAGAGAGGCTTGTCGTTTACCTTTCCTGATAGGAGCAGCTCCAGTAGTTTATGGTTTTCCTATTGTCACTAGAGTTGATAAGTCTTCATGATCCGGTAAAGTGCTGGTCAATAACACAGAGTTTATAGTATCATCTGCTGTATTAACACATTTAGTAGAAGTATACTGTTTATTTTCGATTATGGTAGAGTGAATATAACCTTGATAAATGTAAAATTTTAGCATATTTCTTAAATGGTATTTATAATAGTGTGAATGTATGTTGTTGAAAGTGCTAATTGAGATTCAAGCTTAGCAGCACATTAACTTTTTTATATTCTAAAACATTGCTCAGGTATATCTGACAGGCTGAATTTGTTTTAATGCAGCCGAATATATGTGGAAACTTCCAATTATACGCAGACAAGTCATTGTAACAGAAGCACTGTAAAATAGAGCTTTCCAAGAGCTGTTAGTGTAATAAAGGCAGCTTTATTGTGTAAACTCCCATCTATTGAACGTTACATTTTCTTAATTGGGAAATTTTTTTCTACAACACAGAAAAAGAGTGAAACGGGATTATGTGTAACTGGCTTAAAGATGCAACTGAAACAAAATGGAAAATATCTGCTGCAATCTATAAAGATGTTGCATACAAACATTAAGACACTATTATCAGATAAAAGTACTTTCAAGCACATTTAAGCCATTTTATGTCACATATTTCAAATTGTGTAGTATTTTATTTCATATGAAATATCTAAAAATTGTCTTATTAGTACTTCCTAGTATAAAGTCTAATGTCTTGTTTAATCCTTTAGAGTATTGTATTGTATTAACTGAAATAGTACACATATCTTGTTAACACACAGATTTATCTATAAACCAACCAATTTCACAATAGATGACATTTGTACTGACTGATATGTTGTTTATTTTATCTTTTTGATCATCAAGAACTATTATGATCACTTAATACGTTCACAAATCCATAACAAAAAAAGTTCTTAATAAGAAGTTACCTGAGAGCCAGAATTATTTTTTAATCATGAAATACTTCCACCTTGCCACAATGCTGTCTGTCAAATGTTCATATAGTTTGGACTTCTATGATAGAACACCCTTTATCAACTTTTATAGTTCATTGCACTGGATGTTAAGCAAACATCAATCAATCTTTTCATTGCCTACATTTAATGCTGCAATACTCAGGTAAATTATATTGGCCTTGGCCTTTAATTATTTATAAAATGTAAAAAAAAACATTGTCTTCATTTAATTTTGAAAATATAACAATATACCAATGGAATTAAATCTGAAAACCAGATGACACATATGGAAATGAAAATAAAACTGGACATTAGTCTTAATTAAATAAGGTTAGGTTACAGTATGATGTCATATATTTTGGAATATAACTTTGGCATATTGAGCTTTTATAAAGGAAAAATATCAGTCAAAACACGTTAGATTTTAACAGAAATATATTAGGTGTATCAGAACAAATAAAGTTGATATGGGAATGTTTTTCACTAATTTTATGTGCATTATTCATATTGAACATCTACTTTAAGAATTTGCATCAATAATTTTCAAGCAAATAACAGAGTTAAAATGATTTTTTTTCAGTTTAGTTCAATTACTCCATGTTGCAAAATTTGGACAAATATGCCAGTGTCTATTTACTGTTTTTCAACTTTAAATGAAAATTATTGGACTCGCTTTTTTTTTCTGAACAGGATACATATATATACTGAAAGAAGTTAGTAATACAAAAATTCTGGAAGACTTATCTATTTTATGCATAAATTTCATGTCATTTTATGCCATTGAAAAAATAGCAAGATATAAAGATTTCCCAAAACATCAAATTTGGAGATCCAAAAATATCCTGATGGTTATAAAAATGAACAAAGATTTCAAAAAATGATAAGTAACAAATTAATGCAAAAACGTCAGTTTCTTAAATGTCCTTAGTGTTGCATTATTAAAGCCTGTCAGTATAAAAACTTCATAACCTAATTAGATAACAGCAAATGTCCTTAGTGTTGCATTATTAAAGCCTGTCAGTATAAAAACTTTATAACCTTATTAGATAACAACAAATGTCCTTAGTGTTGCATTATTAAAGCCTGTCAGTATAAAAACTTCATAACCTTATTAGATAACATATCAATACATGCATTTCATTAAAAGGTATTTTTTGTATTTTTATGTTACATAAATTTATTGTACATAATTATTTATTATGATGTGAATAAGAATAAAATTTTACCAACAGTGAAGACTTGTTCGTTTTGATCATGTCCTTCATATAGTTTCATAATTATAATTGAATAGCTTGTTTTTGTCATAAAATATGAGTAGAGTGAAGACTACTTTTCTATCATCAATAAATTTGTATATGACAGTACTTCCTATAGAGATTTTATGTACTGCAGGAATTACTACTCGGCAATGTTGAGAAATGAAATGATCTTGAAAAGTAAGTCCTGGAGGTATATTCTTCTTTGCATGTTTCAATAGTGCATATCAAAATCGACTTTGTGACAAAATCTTATGGAAAAATCAAGGATGGATCTTTTCTGTATCATATGCCCTTAAGCTATGGCTTGCCTGGTCTCATTTGAGCTGAATGTGGCTGAGGAGACCCTGTTTGTTGTTGGGGCTGTGATCTTGGTGGCATCTGTTGATCAGACTGCTGTCTCTAGGAATGTGGTGGTACCGTTCTTGAAGATGTCTTGCTGTTCTAGAATATAAAATTATTCAATTTCAATCTATATAAACTAATAATTTTCAAAACTGATTTTAAATATGAAAGATTTTTGGTGATCTTTCAGTATGGCGAATGATGGATATCTCATCTTTGTGGAGACTGCTTCATCATTATCATAAAGATTAATTGTGTCTCTAAATAAAATGATTGGCACTTTTCTAATCCATAAAATAAATTTCTTAGCTGGTCTTGACCATTGGTTTTGTAACAAAGAACTCACCATTTTTATTCTATTTTTGTGGATCAATAAATAAAGCTGGCACTGCCAACTGATGCTGAACTGCACATTTATTGAGAGAAAACATTTTTATTTCAAGGCATCATACTCCCACTTAGAACTTGTCTTTTGCAAAGTCTTCATCAAACTTGTCTACTGCTTGTCCGTTAGAAGTGATTGAATCCTGATTGAACTCTAAGGTCTCAGTTAAAAGTGACAGTGTGGCAGGAGAATAACCACAGGTTTCACAAAATACCAATATTTTTTACATGTTTTATGAATATGAATCTCATGAAATTGAAGTAGAAAGAATTCATCGACATTTTTCTCCAATACCACAATCACACTATTTACAGAAACATCAGGAGCAAAATTTTGATTTTTTTCTAAATCTTCCAAACCCACTCCTCCTCCTTAAATCAAACAACCCCCTCAACTAAGCAGTCATAAACCTTGACCTATAATGGTTTACTTTTATAAATTGTAACTTGGATGGAGAGTTGTCTCATTGGCACTCATACCACATCTTCCTATATCTATAACAATATTAAAAATCAATGGCATGATTTGTAGATTTCAATTTGCTTATCTATTTTACTGTTTATAATAGTTTCTCTCTATCCATTACCTGTTTTCAAGATGATGATATCAACAAACATCAAACGTTTATGAAAATCAATAACTCAAACAAACAGTCAATGAACAGTTTTGGTTATGTGGCCTCTTATCGTGTCTTGTTTCTGTCTATTGTATCTGGTATAGTTTCCAAGATAGTTGTCTATTTTGTAGATCATCACTCATCTTTCTAATCACTTATATAGTTTACAGTTTCTTAATTTTATAATAATTTTCAAAATAATGGGCCAGATAATGTAAAAATAGTTAAAAGATATGATTTAAAAATAAAATCCCAATTACTCTTAAAAGGAAGTAATTGATGGTTTTAATCAATGGACATTTTTGTAGATCTTATATTCTTTTACCATTTACATTGCCATCACTTGGAACTGTTGTCGTCATAAATTTTTAGAAACGTTCTCAGAAACTACTGAGCCCAATATTGATATTCTTTACTTAAATGTTTCTCAGGGAATCTAGTTTAAAAATAGATGGGTAGAAATGCTAAACAGCAAAATTTTGACAGGTGAGTGAATCAGGCTCCTAGGAGCCTCTTGTTTCAGGATACTGCTATCTATATATTTTAGTTTTCAATTATTGGTAAAAACCATAAAATTAGTCAAAATCGTAATTTTAGAGATAAACTCCTAATTTCAGTCATTATGTTTTTCTGCTCGGCGAAAATTTAAGTTTGCGCCCCTCCCTAACCTTAAATCCTGGATCCGCCCCTGAGTACTGATACAATACAGTATATAGACAACTATCATTATTTACAAACTTCCACTCAAGGATTGGAGTATTAATTGGAATCACCTCCACTTTAATGTCAATCTTAAATGACCAATTTGAAAGTTAATATCTCTTGTATTACATAACGAATAGACACATTATAATACAGATATTTTATCAACTGAACAAAAAAAAAACAATTATCTTTCTGACTTTAATACAAGAGTGATATATCAATTTTGTTTTCTCACCATGATACCTGCGAATATGATTTGAAATTATGCACACAACTCTTCCATTCTTTCCATCAATGATTTGGAGTACTGTGATTTTCAGAAGAACCATGAAGAAGTACACCTTTTTTTCTGAGAATTTCATGAGCTGAAATGGGTGACTTGAAAAAGGAAAAAATAACACTGGTAATTTTTTAGTAACATAATAATGAAAAATGAAAATGATGACGTTCTAAATTTCAATTCTTGTACTGTCTTGTTTTCTTAAAACTTTTGATTTTTGTTGTCCCTTGGTTTCTTCTCTGTTAAAAGAGTTTAAACACAAGTTAAAATTTTAAGCTAAAACCACTTATCCAAAGTTGTGATGGTTGTCTCTAAATGTCTTACAGAAGCTGGTATAAAGAAACAAATACTGAAAATAAGATAAAAAAAAAATTTATATTGTATGTTGATTATTTTTGTCTTTTTATTGTATTGTATTTCAAAAGGTAGAAGATCTGGATGCTTTAGACCTTGTATGCAGCAGATATCTTATGTTACAAAGTTTCAGTCTGTCATGTGTCCATTGTCCTTGACCTCATTTTCACGGTTCAGTGACGGCTTGAAAACAAATTACAGTTTTTTTGGCATGTGAAATACTCACTTATAACGAGTAAAAGATTAACTATATTGGTACCAGTATATGAGTTCCTTGCAAGGTCAACATGTCTGACAGACAAGGTTAGTCTGACCCTGACCTCATTTCATGGATCAGTGATCAAGGTTAAGTTTCTAGGTCAATAGATATAAGAAGATACGGTATGAGACAACTCTCCATCCAAGTCACAATTTGTAAAAGTAAACCATTATAGGTCAAAGTACGGCCTTCAGCACGGAGCCTTGGCTCACACCGAACAGCAAGCTATAAAGGGCCCCAAAAATGACTAGTGTAAAACCATTCAAACAGGAAAACCAACGGTCTAATCTATGTAAAAAACGAGAAACATTTATGAACCACATCAACAAACGACAACCACTGAACATCAGGTTCCTATCAAGTCCTATCAATTCCATATCAGATACTATAGGCAATAGGTCTACTATATTTGATGTATGTGATAATTGTAAGGTGTACATGACTCAATTTCATGTCCTTGGACCAAGTTGTGATTTGGTTTATTTCTAAAGACACTTAATTATAGCAATGTCTGACAGACAAGGTTAGTCTGACCTCGACCTCATTTCATGGATCAGTGATCAAGGTTAAGTTTTCTTGGTCAAGTCAATATCTCAGATACTATAAGCAATATATTTTGTGTATGGAATGATTGTAAGGTGTAGATGTCTGTCTGGCAGGTTTCATATGACCTTGACCTCATTTTCATGGTTCATTGTTCAATGTTGAGTTTTCGTGGTTTTGTCAGTTTATCAGATACTATGAGCAGTAGGTCAGTTATATTTGGTTTATGGAACTATTGTAAGGTGTACATGTCAGTCTGGCAGGGTTGATATGACCGTGACCTTATTTTTATTGTTCATTTGTCAATGTTAAGATTTGGTGGTTTGATCTGCTTCTTGTGTACTATAAGCAATATGACCACTATAGTTGGTATATGTAATTATTGTAAGGTGTATATGTCTTACATCTGACCATGACCTCATGGATCATTGATAATGTTAAGTTTATGTGATACTTGTAGTAAAACCTTCATAATACAGACTTTCAACATCAATTCAATCATATTAAAAGTAGGCTAGACATTTCAGCGTGTGCACTTATGTTTTTTTCAGTTTCTGTTTATCTATTATGGTTTTCTTATAGCAGACTTAACATTGTTGTTAAGTGAAGCAGCGGTAGTAATTTACAATTCATCTAGTTTTAGTCTACTTAAAATTCAGAAATAGTAACATTTGTCGTGTGCATCTGTATTTTTATAAAAAGTGTGTAGAGAGTTGTTAATAGCAATTTCGATTAGATTTATAACGTGACTGCAGTGGCTTATCATTTTATTATGTGCAAACAAGTTTTAAGGGGGTGGAAGTAGTATTCACGACTAATTTTACAACACAAAGTATTGTGACTTCAAAGGAAAAATGCGTCTTCCATTCCACAATTTATATTGTACTGAAGATGACATAGACGCTGTTGTATGTCAGAAATCAAACTTTGTATGTGGAACAAAGCTTACACAGTTCATCTCATTAGACAATTCCAATGGGTTTCAAACTTGTCGTACTAGAATGAATTGATTGATTGTTGGTTGCTTAATGTCCAGTGGCAAATATTTGATTTTCATGCATGTTCAGGACGAGAACAAATTAACAATATATACAATAGGTAGGTCCTTTTGTAGGGACAGTCCGGGATGAAGGTCGGAAAATTTGGACTGCCATTGGAAAATAAGTGAATATTGGATAGCGACAGAAAATTTGCCTTACAACTGAACAGCGGTCACCTACGAACCCCTAAACGAGTTTTTGCAAGGATCTTCACGTGCAGAGAGCCTGGCGTGGCACTCTCTCTCTCTCTCCCATTCTGATCGGACATGGCTGCGTATGTATACATCACGCACAGCCAATCGGACGCCCCAATTTGGCAAGGGTTTTACTGCCGGTCGGAAGTAGACCAAGAGTGACCATATTTCTATTCCACAGTCACCCTTGTACCAGAATAAAAATGATGTCTCGGGGAAATACGTATTGACACAAATATCAATAGTTGTCTCAGCGATAAAGCGACAAAGAACTATATATATATATGGACTAATTGAAATCGGTCTTTGTCTAAAAACTAAAACCTACAGATTGCTGAACAATGCATAGGCGGATCCAGGGGGGGGGGGGGGGCTGGGGGGCCCGCCCCCCCCCCCCTTTTCGTGGGAAAAATTTGGTTGATTATATAGGGAATCACTGAAGCATGACTGGAGCGGGCCCCCCACTTAGGTCAATCAGCGGGCACCCCCTTGTGAAAAGTTCTGGATCCGCCACTGCAATGAATGGTCAGCAAGTCCATTGCTTATTTCAGCTACTTACGAACGAATAAAATTTTGATATAATATTCGGGGACAAATTATAAAATGACGATAGAAGTAAAAAGTTTAAGCTAATGATCAAATCCAACTCCATCAATACGCAGGCATTTACAGCAAAATGACTTGAGTGTGTAGGTAAAGGCTGGGACTATTATACTAACTAATCAGTATAATAGTCCCAGGTAAAGGTAATATCTTTGGTAAGCTTGCATAATGTATGTCGTATCGAAAAGACATTTTTTCAAAGTTTCATCAGAACTTATAAAAAATTTATCATTTACGAATGTATTTCAACAGAGATATATTTAAAGTCTCTGTAATATTATAACAATTAAAATATGTATAGCGTCGGATAGAAATCGACCTTATGCAAATGCTCATATACATGTGTAAGTGATAAATCTGTCCTGGTAAAATGTGTCCGGGCGGACAAATATTACTAGTATAAAAAGTCCATGGTTACAGAAATTACTAGTATATTTAGTCCGATGTCAGTAATTTATGTCCCCAGACTCATTTTCCTAGGAATTTATGTCCATGTCATCAATATTCCTAGGAAAATGTGTAATAAAAGAAATCATTTACATGTAAACAATGGAATATTTAATTCTTACGTTTTAAAGTTGTTTAACAGTTGTGCATTAATCTTTTAATAAAATTTATGTGACCAGACTAAATTTCCTAGGAAATCCTGTCCAGGCCATTAATATTGCTAAGTAAACACAACCATGTTCATTATTTTTATAAGACAATTTGTAATGAGAGAAATCATTTACATGTGAACAATGGAATTTTTAATTATGTTTCAATGCTGTTAAACAGTTGTGCATTAATCTTTTAATAAAATTTATCTGCCCAGACTAATTTTCCTAGGAATTCATGTCCGGGCCATTAATATTTCTAGGTAAAAACGTCCATGTCCTTTATTTTTATTAACTCGAATAATTCAATCCCTCTCCGTGTCCGATTTTCTTCCACGCGAGGCGTTAATGTAGCCATCGTAGATCAGCGGAATATAACGACTGAATTATTCGGGTTATATTTTTATAGGAAATTTTGTAATGAAAGAAATAATTTACATGTAAACAATGGAATTTGTAACTTATATGTTTTTAAATTGTTTAACAGTTGTGCATTGATATTTCACTATTTTATCAAAATATGGGTGTTTTTTTAATAATTAAACGGACTTTTTTTCCTAGGAAAATTAATATCACAGACTTTTATGATGTACATAATCACAAATGTTCCTTTCTTGATTTTGATATTGATTAATTTAAGTAATGTCTTGAGAAATAAACTTCTAAAGGGACTTTTTCATACAAAAAAGGAGAATACAGAAATATAAAAAATTTCCTAGGAAAATAGGTGCCAGACATATTTTACTAGCTACGGACTTATTTTCCTAGGAAAATTTATCCAGGGACTTAATTTCCTAGTAAAATTATGGTCACGGACTTGATTACCTAGGAAAAAAAGTCCGGCGGACAAATTTTACTACCGGACCAAATTTACTGTTACACATGTACATTGATTTTGGAACATTCAAATACGAAATAAAAGATGAATTTTGGTCTGTTTTGAAGGGTTCTTATATCAATAGATCAATAAATATAAGAAGATGTGGTATGAGTGCCAATGAGACAACTCTCCATCCAAGTCAAAATTTATAAAAGTAAACCATTATAGGTCAAAGTACGGTCTTCAACACGGAGCCTTGGCTCACACCGAACAGCAAGCTATAAAGGGCCCCAAAAATTACTAGTGTAAAACCATTCAAACGGGAAAACCAACGGTCTAATCTATATGAAAAACGAGAAACGAGAAACACTTATGAACCACACCAACAAACGACAACTACTGAACATCAGATTCAATTTTCAAAAAGTTACAGACTTTGCATATAAATTGTTTCAACCCGAAATACGCTAACAGATGTATTGATATTCATTTGCATAAGGTCGATTTCTATCCGACGCAGCTTATATCATGGTCACTTGCAAGTTTTTTTTAAAAAAAACTAATGTCTGCACAAACGCCAATTTTAAGCTTTTGCTTCTTATCTGAAAATGCAAGATGACCGTCACACATAGTTTAACATAAAACCCTATGTGAAAGACAAAGAAATAGCCCCAAAAACATCAGTGGGAGCATAACCAATACATCTGCATGTGATGATATGACAGTCAAACATACTAATACAAATTTAACAATTACTATCCACACTGATCTGTGTCCACAATTGTATTATACAAATACCTTTTATTTCTATTTATAAACTTTATTAAGCACAAATTACAACCATAAGAGGGTCAAAGGAAATGCGCATGCAATTAACAAGAATCACAGAACGATAAATTAGTATAATTTCCACAATGTTTGATGGTTTAATTTGACGTCTTCTTTGGTTAAGAATTGTGTGGTCGGAAGGCGGCATTGCTGGTATACCTGACCTTCAGCCACTTTGACATTGTAGAAAATTACTAGCCTTTGTAGTTTTCGTCTGTCCTCTAATGGTGATAACTCTAGTTCTTGCATGATCATTTTTGTGATGGATCCGTCATCTTTTTATTTATTATCTCTGTTCATGAACCGTACAGCCCGGCCTTCTCTGTATCCTTTTTTGTGTATGGGTCCCGTATGATAGAATAGTGAGGAGATGTGGTATTATTGCCAATGAGACAACCATCCACCAGAGTTCAAATGAAGTATTTGGAGTCCGGGTATGGGTTGGTATTTACCTCGTCTAGTATATGTGGTAGAATTTGTTTGATATTTTGTTCATAGATAGAAGCATTTTTGGCGTTAAATTTCATACCCCAGTTTTTGGCCCATACTTCCAGGTTTCCAAGGAAGTCTTCATGGATGTTGGTGTGGTCTTTTTTAGCTGTGGATTTCCCTTTGAAGTAAGCAGTCGTCTGCGAATAGTATGACTGATGATTGTAACTGCATCAGGGAGGTCATTTATGTGGGGCTCATTACTGTCATAATTTCCAAAAACCGTTCTAATGCAGAGTACGTGTTTAAATGAAACATATAATTTTAAACACTTTCAATCAAAGCCATTGCGAAGTATGTTAGTGTATATAAACCCGTGACCTTTTACTGTAACAAAATATAAGCGTCAATACCTAACATAAATATATATTTCAAATTATTGAAGTGTAAAAAGGGGGGGGGCAAAATGAAACATATTGATATTGTATATGGTTCCATATGCTCCAATTAAGTGCCTGTGTACCGGATAACTCGAATCCCTAAATATAAGACTAATATTTGGAGTATCCCATGTAACAATTAAAATAATAATATACACCCCCAAGATATTAAATTCAAACATTTCATATCCTAGTCCTGTACGTAACACAGGCACTTGTCTCTGAAAAAAAATTTAACTATGTTATATCAAAGTATAAAGGTATTTTTTCAGAGGCAAGTGCCTGTGTCCCATGGGAAATGTCCAGTGATATTGATTAATACAATGGCAAAACAATGTATCTTCTAGTCCCAGCCTAGTCCACTAGTCCAGATGACTTTGTTGTGACGTTGTAGGTATTTTGAAAGGCGTTACTGCAACAAAAAATAATAATAATAATTATAGCTCACAAGACGTCATAAATATTTGACCCATATCCCAGTTATAAGACAATCAACGGGTATCTTTTCCTTATATATACAGGACAATTCCAGTTTCAACCGATTAGTATTACAAGGGCGGATTTAACCACCTCGTTCTTGGTCTGACTAAGAAAATTGGCAATTGACCAAATATTAAACAATCAATCGATCAATTTAAAGAGTTTAAACATTGGAATATTTATCATAGGAATAGTTTTTTTTTGCGGATGAGCCTATTCTTTGAAACTATTGATTTGGGGAAAACACTCGTTATGTCACGTGACTTATTTAGGTAATTTTCCATATAGAGAAAACAGACGACATTCACATTATAGTTTGATTTTGATACAACATGAAGTTTTCGGTCAAAAGCGGACAGCAAGTTGCTCGAATGGTGGATGTTTATTCTCACTATTGTCCACAACCGTTGTCAATGCAGCGGTTTATAGATTTTGGTAAGCATTTATAACATTTTTAAAGTCAAATATTAGGTCATCAATCAGCTGGTGTCGCGTCGTGTATATTGGCATGTACACATGCATTATAAAGTTTGAAATTGTCTTTTCTGATAATAAGTTAATTTTATTGAAAAAAATAGTTTGTTTCTTTGTCTGGATGAAAACAAATAAAGTTTGTTTCTATGTTTGTTTGTAAACAAGACAAAATGAAAGTAAACTAGAAGTCGTGGGTGTGAGACGATAGACCAATCAAAATGATAAACAGATTTCAACTTCCGGTACAAATATTATAATTCCACTGCGAAAAAAGGAAAAGTTTATGATGGAATAGGAGAATCAAAGTTATTTTATCCGGTGATCATTGCAACTAAAAATAACAACAGCTGAATAATGCGTTTGACACGTTGTTTATTGCTTCAAACTTTAAAAGGTTTTGACAAATATGCCAAGTTTCACCCATCTCCCTTATCTTTGGAAGAAATGTTCTTATTTGGTAAGTTATTTAATATTGCTTTCAATGAGTCAATGCAAACTTAAGAAGTGAAATATATAGCATAAGTAGGAACAAATACTCAACATGCTTGCAAATGCTCGACATGGACCGTAAATTTAAATATGAGACCGAAGCTACCTTTGAAAGAGGTTCAAGCCTGGACAGTACATTAATAGATGACTATAACATTAAATTATAGATGACTTTATCATTAATGCATTTACCATACCTTTCCAATGTCACAATGGCTACATGTATGTTAATAAATCACAGTAAAAATTCATTGTTCAATAATGCCATTGTCATTATCATCAATGTCAACAGGGTCAATATTCATAAAGAGGAAATAGAAATTGGTGTTTTGTTGTATATATCTGAGTATGTTTAGTTTGTATATTCCAGAACTGTTCTGTCTTATGAGTTATTGGTGTTTTGTTGTGTATATCTGAGTATGTTAAGTGTATATTCCAGAACTGTTCTGTCTTATGAGTTGTTGATAGGATTGTTACTTGTATCAGGTTCTTTTTGTAATCGAACCTTGAGTGAAGGATGTAATAATTTGCATTTCTGTTGATTTCTGTTATACATTGTACATCACTATTAGCCCCCCAAATTAAGTCAGTATATTAAAATTTGGCCACAAATTATTTCTACACGGTGAATAGGTCGTACTTTATGTAAAGATTAATAACTGAAACAATGTTCTTCAATTTTCAGGCAGAATTTCTTGTATTAAAGTTCAGCATTATGTATAATAACGTAATGTATACATGTACTTGAATTCGACGTAGATAGACAAGTGCATTATTTATCGTGATCATCATCAGTTCCTCCCACCCAAGAAAGAAAACAGGATTTGTCTCCTTATAAAAAATGATTACTACATGTAAGCTTATTATGTACACAATGAACAAACATAAAAATTCAAAATGTTTCATCACCTGGTGCAAGTTAAAAGTTTTCACAAATGAACATTTCCCAAGATATGAAGATACTGAGAGAAAAAAACCTTCGATATTACTTATCAGATTCCTCCATTGTAATGAAGGTTCTATGAAGAAGTTTACAATGTAATAATACAAATATTTTTATTCTATATGAAAAAAAATAATATATCGTAGGTTTTACTTATTTTGAAATCCATATTTCTTTAACTTATTTGTTGTGAGACATATCTATATTTTGTAAATGTGGGGAAATGCACATGTTTTTCAGAAAGTCTGCAATTTTTCATTCAAGTTGAGGAAGATTCCTAAAAATTTCAGATAGTGTTTTAATAACTTATTTACAGAACAAACACATCTTGAGTGTTTAGATCAAATGTCTTTACTGTTTTCAAATTCTGTACACAAATTAACTAGTTGGGTTACTGGTATTTTATTTTCATAAGATCATGTTTTTCTGGACTGTTCATGGAATGGTTGTATGATCAAAACAAATTGTGAATGCATAGAAAAGGATATAGTTCCTTACATTTTCTACTTTAATTTCATAAGAAAAGCCATTTGCCAATGTAATAAAAAGAATAACTAATCAAAGAATTCAAATATCGAAAAATATTCAACTCGTGACCGAACAACACTGATAATTAACTCATGCGCTACGACGGCTACGTGCATTCGTCAATTTAATGTGTTGTTCGGTCACTCGTTGAATATTTTTCTCTATTTGAATTCTTCAATTAGTTATTCTATAAATCATCAATTGACACATGTCTGTACAATATGTCAAGCTGTAAATTACCCTCAGGCTTAAAAAGTTGTTAATGAATAAAACAGAAATCATTCACAAATCTACTATCAACACCAAATTATCAAAATAAACATATTACTGTAAATTCGGAAATTATTGCGAGGTTTAAATTATTGTGAGGTTTTTATACGACCGCAAAAAAATTTTGCGGTCGTATATTGGTATGACTTTGGCATCGTCGCCGTCGTCCGAAGACACATTAGTTTTCGCACTCTAACTTTAGTTTAAGTGAATGGATCTTTATGAAATTTAACCATACGGTTCAATACCACAAAAGGAAGGTGGGGATTGATTTTGGGGGTTATGGTACCAACTGTTAAGGAATTAGGGGCCAAAAAGGGGCCAAAAATAAGCATTTTTGTAACTTCCAGACATAACTTGTGTGTTAGTGTATCGATCTCTCTGACATTGTACCACAAGGTTCCATATCACAAAGGGAATGCTGGGATTGATTTTGGGGGTAATTGCCTCCAAATTTTAGGAATTAGGGGCCAAAAAGGGGCAAAAAACAAGCATTTTTCTAGTTTCATGACAATAACTTGTGTGTTAGTGTATGGATCTCTCTGACATTGTACCACAAGGTTCCATATCACAAAGGGAATGCTGGGATTGATTTTGGGGGTAATTACCTCCAAATTTTAAGAATTAGGGGCCAAAAAGGGGCAAAAAACAAGCATTTTTCTAGTTTCATGACAATAACTTGTGTGTAAGTGTATGGATCTCTCTGACATTGTACCACAAGGTTCCATATTACAAAGGAAATGCTGGGATTGATTTTGGGGGTAATTGCCTCAAAATTTTAGGAATTAGGGGCCAAAATGGGGCAAAAAACAAGCAGTTTTTTAGTTTCATGACAATAACTTGTGTGTAAGTGTATGGATCTTTTTGAAATTGTACTACAAGGTTCCATATCACAAAGGGAAAGCTGGAATTGAGTTTGGGGGAATTGGCCAAAACGTTTAGGAATAAGGGGCCAAAAATAAGCATTTTTCTAGTTTTCAGACAATAACTTGTGTTCAAGTGTATGGATCTCTCTGAAATTGTACTGCAAGGTACCATACCACAAAGGGAAGGCTGGGATTGATTTTGGGGGTAATTGCCTCAAAATTTTAGGAATTAGGGGCCATAAAGGGGCAAAAAACAAGCATTTTTCTAGTTTCAGGACAATAACTTGTGTGTAAGTGTATGGATCTCTCTGAAATTGTACTACAAGGTTCCATATCACAAAGGGAAAGCTGTGTTTGAGTTTGGGGGTAATTGCCATAAACGTTTAGGAATTTGGGGCCAAAAAACAAGCATTTTTCTAGTTTCCAGACAATAACTTGTGTTCAAGTGTAAGGATCTCTCTGAAATTGTACTGCAAGGTACCATACCACAAAGGGAAGGCTGGGATTGAGTTTGGGGGTGATGAATCATAAGGGGGTTCAAAAAAATTTTGGGGGGGGGATTTTTTTTCCATTTTTTTTCTTTAAAATTTTTCATTTTTTTCCTTTAAAATTTTCCATTTTAAATTGGTTATTTCTGATTTATATATAAAAGCAAATAATAATGATATGGTTTGAATAGGTAAATTAAATTTTTTTAAGTTCTTAGACCACATTCATTCTGTGTCAGAAACCTATGCTGTGTCAAATATTTAATTACAATCCAAATTCAGTGCTGTATCAAGCTTGAATGTTGTGTCCATACTTGCCCCAACTGTTCAGGGTTCGACCTCTGAGGTCGTATCAAGCTGCGCCCCAGCGGAGCATTTTATTATTGCTAATAAATCGACTGGGTGAGTATCGCAATAATAAGAACTCACATTCTCATAGATGATACAATTTATTATATCTGTAACTATGCAGATTTTTCTGAAATCGCAATGATTAATCTTGCTTTTTTGACCATTTTTCAAAATTAGCAATAATAAATGCATGCAATAATTTCTGAATTTACAGTATATCATTATATATCATAAGACAACCACTTACAAGGTCCTTCACATGGGACAGGCTCATGAACATGTGTTGGGTTATACTGGCCTTTATTGGTCTCGCAACCACTAACAAGGTTCTTCACATGGGACAGGCACATAATATATGTGTTGGGTTTATCTGGCCTTTATTGGTCTAACAACCACTAACAAGGTTCTTCACATGGGACAGGCACATGAACATGTGTTGGGTTATACTGGCCTTTATTGGTCTCACAAACACTAACAAGGTTCTTCACGTGGGACAGGCTCATGAACATGTGTTGGGTTATACTGGCCTTTATTGGTCTCACAAACACTAACAAGGTTCATCATGTTGGACAGGCACATGAACATGTGTTGTTTTATACTGGCCTTTATTGGTCTCACAAACACTAACAAGGTTCTTCACATGGGACAGGCTCATGAACATGTGTTGGGTTATACTGGCCTTTATTGGTCTCACAAACACTAACAAGGTTCTTCACATGGGACAGGCACATGAACATGTGTTGGGTTATACTGGCCTTTATTGGTCTCACAAACACTAACAAGGTTCTTCACATGGGACAGGCACATGAACATGTGTTGGGTTATACTGGCCTTTATTGGTATCAAGCCTCCCCTTTTATAAGGAAAATGTATTTGTTAACTTTGACATAGCTATATTACTAAAATAACGAGGTCCAATTTGTTAGCTGGCATGCAGTAAAAAAGACGAATAAAAAAATTCAACTTTATATATAATTAATACAGGACAATGGTGCTGATTAAAAATTACACCATTTAATGCCCTTTTGTTTTCCACATAATTAATCATACCAATAATTAACAAGTTCCAGGTCAAGTCCGATACCGATAGCAATAGTATATGTTACATGTAGTTTCCGGTTGTATGTATGTTCTGTATCTTCCTCCTTAAATAGGAACACCACCAAGGGTATGGTGTAAAGAGGAAAATTTAACACAGTGTATCGGTACAGATTTAATGTGAGCATTTGTCTATACCCAGTTTCCCAGCCTGGCTGTGACGGGTCTTACTACCAGAAAGTTAACCTTCCCCAAAAACAAAAAAAAAGTACAATGCAATAAAACAGGTTCAAAAAGAAAGATTTTTGAAAGCAGAGAAAACTGTGCACCTTATAATCAGCATGACTTTATCAGATGACAATACCAATACTAAAAATCCAAGCTAAAAATAAGACGAAGGTACTTAAATTCAGTCACGGACCCAGCGCGATGGCACGGGTGTGTTCTAGTAGATATTATAGTGCTATGTGGGGTTTTTTTCTGAACTGATTTATTCTGCATCATTTAATTAATGATTTTGTACATGTAACGATGATGTTCTGTGTACAAATAGTGTATTTTTGTTATTATGGTGATTCTAGAATATGATCACAAAGTAAAAAATAAATAAATTAAATTCATGTTTTGTCAACACCATTATTGCTTTGGATTATTAGAAACAAGTAATCATAATGGTTAGCCTTTTATCAGAAGATGTGTTCTGATTCAAGTTCACATTTGGTACTATATATAGTTCAACATGTATCAGATAAATGTGTTGAAATTACTGAAATAATGCCAGATAAACATTTTACCTAACCTTTGTTCACTTTATCTGAAGATGGGGTATTAATCATGTTGATTCTAATAGAAGATTTTAGTTTCAATTCAATTTAAAAGTAACCAATATCTGACCTGGTTTGTTAGCTTCATAATCGATACTGAAAAAAAAATATGTTGTAAGAGTAAACAAATAGAAGTTCAACTTATGTCTTATTCTAAACAAAGTTAAATCTCACAGGGAGTTTGTAGTTTATTTAAGAGCATCTCTTCCTAGATCAAGTACATTAATCTCTAACATACTATTACAAATTTTATATTGGAAATTTTCTCATCCAACAGATTTTGTTTTTCTCTGTTGTATAAGTAGTTGTAATATTGAAGGAAGAGCAGTACATTTTGAATTGAGGTTAGGGATTGAGAAGCTGAGTTACAATTGAATTTTATGTAAAAGAATAAAAGATGAACATGGTATGGCTGCCAATCAAACAAACTACCAGCAAAAACCATAATGACGAGAAAATTAAATAGAGAATTTTTATTTTGAAGTTGGATTGTCATTTCAGAATTTTGTATGAACAGAAAAAAACTTGTTTCTATTTCTTTATAAAGCATTTTCTTGATCATATTATACTACTTTAAAAGCAAGTAATGTTACATGAAGGTAAGGTACTGATGGTGGGAGACATTTATTGGTCATGAAACACCCCTGTAGCAGTAGTAGGGTTGCCCCACTTTATGTACAGGTACATTTAACTATTTCAAATGTTTGTATTATCAACTGAAGACTTGTTATTATAAAATGTGTAAAATGAACTCAATTTTGGACAGAATTATTTACTTTTGAACATTTCTATCTTAAATGTAAACTATTATCTCATTAACTGGACAGAACCTTTTGAGTTATTTTGGTCAGAAATAAATAAAAGATTAGACAGTTTAAAGTTCGTAAAAAATGTATCAAAACACTTTATCAAGGATATTACTTATATAAAGTTGAAAATTTGAACTTTTGAATTTGACTATATGTAAGTAATATCCTTATAGTAATATCGTTGATCCAATGTATTTTTTACATTACATTAAAAAACACTGGATCAACGATATTACTTATAAATAATAAAGTTCAAAATACAGTTTTCTATAGATGAGAATACAGAATATTTCCATTTCTATGCCACTTGTTTAGCTCCCTAAATCATGTAAATAGATTTTGTGAATTTATTGGGTTGTTGTTCCAGAGATATGTAACTTTATAAAATGTTAGATTTAGAAGTCAACATTTCAATTGTAAGAAGACTTTATAAACTGTTAGATTTAGAAGTCAAATATTCAAATGTCATGCACTTTCTAAAGTTTGAGACAGTCATATGTTGAAATTTTTTCTCTACAATATAAATAAAAATAAATGTTTCAGACAAATTTAATTTAACGATAAGATAGGAAGTACATATTTTTTGGTCTTAATTCATTACATTTTCTATTTAAAGGGACAAAAACCGGTACAGAACAATCATCCTTTGAATTTTTACGAAGAGAATTGCCAGTACGCTTGGCTAATATAATGATGGAGATGAACCAGTTACCAGAACCTCTATTAAATGTACCATCAGTTACAATGGTCAGCAACTGGTAAGTTTGTCAATTTCCATGTAAGCATGCAGTTAACTTGTAAAGCTAAGCCATACAATGACCTCTAGTTGCTCACATCTATGTTATTTAGTCTCTTGTGAATACTTGTCACATTGCAGGGGTGTGGAAATTGTTGTGAGCTCTTGTCTATGGGCAAGAAAAATTGTAAATTTTACCTGTCCGTTAAAAAGTTGCTTGCCATGAATTTCCCAATAATTATTGAAGTATTTTACTGTAAGCTTGTATGATTCTTAAAACTGTTTTGTATCACAATATAAATGATGTTTGTGATATTTGTTTAAGTGTTTAAATGTACGAGTCGGGCAAGTAGGGCATCACATTTCCACACACCTGCATTGGTGATAATACCACATCTTATTTTTATATTATATGTTATCTATATCACTGGCATAAATTGAAAATTGTGTTGCATAAATGTTGAAGGAAATCCAAACACACCATACAGTACATACAATGTTCATGTTGAATATAACTTAAATATCTGGTACAATATGGCAAGGTAAAGTCATTTGCACTACCAGTATGACTAATCTACTTTGATAGTTATCACAATAACAATACATCTCCATGAAGCACATACGGTACATAAAGTGTAAAAGTATTTAAAAATGACAAACAAACAATGCAATCATAGTGTACATGGAACTTAATTACAAAAAGTAATTAAGCTAACTATATAAATTTGTGTGGTTTTTCACCCAATCATCCTTTCTTTCTCTGTATAGGTAGTGCATACAAGTTCATATAAATAGGAGTTAACAGTATTGTATTAGAGGATTTGTAGGCATATATTAGCGATTTCATGGTAACAAATATTTATTTACTGGCAAAACAACATGGTTGCAAATATCTGCTTACCAGTAAATGAATGTTTATGGCCATTAATTTGCCAGTTGATGCATGATATGCCAGCAAATCTTCAAATACAGTATTGATAAATCATACTTTTCAAAATGATTTACACATCTCCACTCGCACACACAATTTCAGTCAACCAGTCATTTGATACCCTGGAACTTGTGGCATTAACCAATCCAAAGCGAAAATTTCAAACAGTTTTACATTTATTTACCTTTGCTACATGTGTTATAAAACCAAGTCAAATATATGTTTATCTTTTACAGGTATAAAAAAAGTTTTGCTGAAATTTTAAGCTTTGAGAATTCAGATGGTAAAGACCTAGATACATTGTCAACGTAAGTATTTCTTTTCTTTATAAATTTTGGTAAAAGTAATTTCAGTTTGGACTAGATTTTGGGTGAAGGCTCGTCATCTGACTTCAATCTGCATTCAAAGGTCCCTTTGAGTTTGCTGTGTCTTTTCCATATATTCCTCATGCTGTTATGAGGCATGTCTAAGATAACTTTTTATTTTATGATAATTAATGCTTCAATTGTCTCGATTTAGTAGTACCCATACCTCTCTCTGAACTTTTTTGTAATGAGAATTAATTCTTAGAACTAGCCATTTATGTCAAATGTTACAACTGAGAAATTTTTAAAAGTACACTGAACTGTGATTAGTAGATATTTGTATTTGTACTTAATTTATAGATAAAAACTTTTTAAAAAGTGATTAATGGTTCTATGATATAGAAAATGCATGGTTCCATTAGACTCCATCTATCAGTTAAGTAATACCAAATGGATTCACTGCTTTATACATTTACATGTATTATGTATGAACCAATAGTAAAAACACACTGTGTAAGAGCACACCAGTTAAATTCATCAGCTCTAAAATTAAAATAATTAAAATGTCATGCTGATGCATAATATATTTTGGTGTACTACTTAAAGGTAACATACATGACATGGTGATACCCCCCGTAAAAAAACCCTAAACAATCTTTAAAAGTATGCATAGTAGTCAAGATAAGAGAGAAATCTGCTGTGGAGACTTGCATTTTCAGTTTTTTTTTTAGATCCATCATAGACAGGAAAGTGTCACAGCAAATATTAAAGATTCCCAAGGCATTATTATTTGGAATAAAGAAATGTCATGAACATTTTTTTTTATAAAAAATACTGTTATGTATGTTACTTACTTTATTGTTAAAAGTCAATGCAATGCCAGATTTATCTGTACAAGCTTTAGAAAAGGATAAAACTGATCTTTGGTTAGCTTTTCCATCGTTTATTACACTGTTTTATTATATAGTACATAGTTTTGACCTGTCAGTCATTTTCGTTTCCTGATGCTAAATAAAAAACTTTATATTGGATTATATAAGGTCACATATAGTGAGAGGAAGTTCCTTATTGACTTATTGGTCACTGTATTAAAGGTCAAGGCCATAGTTACTAAAAATAGACTGAAATTGTGCAGAAAAGAGGTTTTGGGAATGATAAATCAAATTCTACATATGTGATTGCAGTTTTATTTGGATATGCAGTCAGATATAATAAAAGAAAAATCTGTATTAGTTTTAAGGTCAAAACCTCAGGTCAAGGTCAGTTTAAAAAAATTGACTGAATTTTGTGCGAAAAAATGGTTTCCAGATGCTAAATCAAATACTATATATGAGATTGCAACCTTATTTGAATATTTGGTCACATATAATGAGAAGGAAATTCCTATCCATAGAGAAAATAGAAAAAAAATTGACGTTAGGTCACTATAAGAATTTCCCCTATATATGGGGGTGGGCTATGTGAACTTGCTCACTTAAGGTTTTTAATTAATTTTATAATGCATTCTGCAATATTTGTAATAAAATTGAGAATGGAAATGGGGAATGTGTCAAAGAGACAACAACCCGACCACAGAACAGACAACAGCAGAAGGCCACCAACAGGTCTTCAATGCAGCGAGAAATTCCCGCACCCGGAGGCATCCTTCAGCTGGCCCCTAAACAAATATATATACTAGTTCAGTGATAATGAACGCCATACTAAACTCCAAATTGTACACAAGAAACTAAAATTAAAAATAATACAAGACTAACAAAGGCTAGAGGCTCCTGACTTGGGACAGGCGCAAAAATGCGGCGGGGTTAAACATGTTTATGAGATCTCAACCCTCCCCCTATACCTCTAGCCAATGTAGAAAAGTAAACGCATAACAATACGCACATTAAAATTCAGTTCAAGAGAAGTCCGAGTCTGATGTCAGAAGATGTAACCAAAGAAAATAAACAAAATGACAATAATACATAAATAACAACAGACTACTAGCAGTTAACTGACATGCCAGCTCCAGACTTCAATTAAACTGATTGAAAGATTATGTCTTCATCATATGAATATCAGGCACAATCCTTCCCGTTAGGGGTTTAGTATCACACCATCATAACATATATGAGAAGAACATAACCTGTGTCATGCCAACAACTGGTTTTTAAATAAATGTGTTTAGTGCCGATGCAAAGACCCTATAAGTGAATCAATATTAACTCCAAAATATGCAATCTTTAATGACCTGACAACAGTATCGTAACTATATCCCTTCTTAATAATGCCTAGTTCACACGTACATTTAATTCGAATTGAATTCGGTAATCGCGTTCACACACTCTTCCTTTTTAATTCGAATTGATTCGAATTGGCTAATTCGCATTAACCAATTCGCATTAGAAATCCGTTTTTGTTGATACGAATTAAAAGTTAACGTCGTTCGGACAGTAAAGCAAATTTGACGCGTATTGCAATTCGAATTAGAATTAACGTTTGGACATAAAACGATTCGAATGCGAATTAAACTAATTCGAATTAGTTAATGCGAATCGAATTCGAAATACGTGTGAACGCAGCATAAGTCTATTTAAAGGTTTTGTTAGTTTCAGAGGTGAATACTGACATTTTTGTGCTTTATAAAGAATATTTCCATAAAAAATTGGATGTGAAATACCTGAACGTATAAGAAGTCTGCATGTTGAGCTATATTTACGAATGATGTCCTTATACCGATGATAAAATTTAGTAAATGTTTTGACTAGTTTGTGATATCGAAAACCCTGGTGTAATAATTTTTCAGTAATACATAAATTTCTCTCGTTAAAATCTAAAACATTGTTACATACACGAGCGAATCGTACAAGTTGAGATATATAAACACCGTAAGATGGTGACAAGGGAACGTCACCATCTAAAAATGGATAATTAACGATAGGAAATGAAAAATCATCTCTTTTATCATATATTTTAGTATTAAGCTTTCCGTTAATGATATAGATATCAAGATCGAGGAAAGGGCAGTGGTCATTGTTAGTATTAGCTTTATTTAAAGTAAGTTCAACAGGATAAATTTCTTTAGTATACATACTGAAGTCGTCATTATTGAGAGCCAAAATATCATCCAAATATCTAAAAGTATTATTAAATTTGTGTATCAGATGTTGTTTCGATGGGTCTTTACTGATTTTTGTCATAAATTGTAACTCATAGCAATACAAAAAAAGGTCCGCAATAAGTGGTGCACAGTTAGTCCCCATTGGAATTCCGATAACCTGACGATATACGGAATCTCCAAAGCCAACAAAAATGTTATCTAGTAAAAATTCAAGGGCATATATAGTATCAAAGCATGTCCAATTGACATAGTTTTTTTGTTTATTGCTACTAAAAAATGACCTAAAAGAGTTTGAACATATATATTCACATTCTGACTTTTTAAATGCCCATTTAATTAGGTGTGTGAATTTTTTCTTAATGAGAATGTGAGGCAATGTGGTAAATAGGGTAGAAAAATCAAAACTTTGAACAGATTCAAAATCACCAATATATGCATGCAATTTATTCACCATATTTTACATCAATCCAACATTTTGTTTAAGACGGAGTACTTGGACAGCATTACATTATTTCTGAAGAAGCCCTTTCAATTTCCTGACTTCTATTCAATAAGATTTTGTCTAATTGCAGTTTTGCTGATACTCTTGTAGTAATCAGAAATCGGCACGCAAATGTGGTTGAAACAATGGCGCAGGTATGTAGTTTTACAAAGAATCTAAGTAACTATAGAATACTCATTTAAAATTAGAAAATGAAAAATATGCATTAGATTAAAAAACCTTTAATGGATATTTGTATCATTTGAATAGTTGTTCTTAGTTGGACTTATCTCATCAGATAGTTACAAAGCACAAAAACTAACAAAAACACAAAAGACACGATATACAGATCTAAGAGTACTCACAGTTACTGAAAGATAGTTCAAAGCCAATAACTAACAAAAAAATCATGTACATGTATCTTAAGACTAAAATATCAATCAATACACATCCGACTTCCAATGGATTTAGTGTAAAGACATCATTAACAGCCAGAGAAAACATGACCTTGTGCAATGCCAAAATATAGGTATTGCCAGATTGTAGGACGGTGTATGTACGTATGTGTATAACAATGGTATTTAGTTGGGTATTAAGTAATTGATAACAAAATAAATATAAATATCAATAAAAACAATATTCAAAGATTTAATAACCTATTAGAATAGGTTTATTTAAAGTTTATTATATGTTTCTTTCATTGTCATATCTGAATGGACTTTTAAAACAGTAAACTTTAATGCTGATGTAAGTAGAAAATTATGACATCTTTTTCAGGGAGTTATGGAATTAAAGGATAGGTATGGAGAAGAAAACATGGATACATTACAGTACTTCCTCAACAGATTCTTTACAAGTAGAATTAGTATACGAATGTTAATTAACCAGCATGGTAAGTAAACTTTGAACTACAAGATTTTGAAACCTTGTTCTGATTGCACGATCGTAATCATGAAAAAAGCCTAAAAACATAATTTTGAGAAAATTTATATGAAAATTTGTTGGTTCCAAATTTTTTGATTTTTCCCAAGGGATACATTGGTGGTCAGTGATAATTAGCCAATCAAAATCTTTATTTCCTGTGATCATGTTTTTCTTTGATTAATGGGGCATTATAAACAAGCAAAGATTCGAACTTGTTTGGATATTTTGAGTTGCAATTCCTCTGTCCATATGTCAGAATTGTAAAAATCCTGATCATGGTGGACAAATTCTCATTTGCAATGATTTTTTTTACGACGCCTAAGAAGAAAGCGTGACTGATTGACAAATTCAACAATGATAGGGATATCACATGCCTTTTGCAGAGTTTGCTTTTAATAGAGACAGCAATGTTGACCACGATTTCCTGAACAATGTTTTAATGTTAATCATCAGTATACATAAGAAGTAGGAGAGATCAGACACTTTTTCTACAATAATAAAACAGAGCACACAAAAATGCCTGGAAAAACTGTGAAAGAATTAATATGTTACATATTTATAGATCTTTGAAACATTTATCAACTGTCTTATTTGGTTGTAAATTACATGCTGACATTAACTTTTAAATCTTTCTGTGTTTTATTGAAATACAATACTACTATATTTCAAAATGATTGACTTAAAAATTTTTTTTGACATTTCAGCTTTATTATATGGTTCTCAGTTAGCCAACCACCCTAGACATATAGGTTGTATAGATCCTAAATGTAATGTACTAGAAGTTGTTAAAGGTAACTTGATTTTATATATTAGGGTTATCACAGAAAATAAATGAGAGGCGAAAGATAGCAAAGTGATATTCAAACTCATAAGTCGAAAACAAACTGACAATACCATGGAAAAAAACAAAAACCCATGAAAGACAAACAACAGTACAAAAAAAAACAATATATAAAAGTAAAGTCTGAGCAACACTAACCCCACCAATCTAGGAGTGATCGCAGGTGCTCTGGAAGGGTGAGCAGATCCTGCTCCACATGTGGCACCTGTCGTGTTGCTCATGTAAGGACAAATCCGGTGATAAGTCTAATTCTGTAGGTCAGGAAAAGAGGACTGGATTGTAGTTACGACAATTGGAACATATCTGTCGTCATCTGAGAAACAGATATTCCATAACGGTCATGCTTATAACAATTCATATAGATAGTATAAATCAAATCAAATCAAATCAAATATTTATTATTCCAATCATGGTCCCACAGGGGGCATTTACAATTAACAATTATGATAGTAGAAGCAACAAACATGAGACATTGTACAGTATATAACGTGACAGATATTATAATAGACAATGAAAATAGTATTAATAACAAAAATACATTAAAAGTACTCTTGAGTATTTTTTTTTTTTTTTTTCCTTCCTTCCTTATGTCCAGCAGTGTAAAAATAATAAAAAAAGTATTAATAATAAAGTTTGATCAACCTTAACTTATTATCTATAAAGATGGAAATTTGTTCATCTGCAGGAGACACCAAGGGACGGTGCTCTAGGATATACTGTTGATTGCGATAGGCAATAAACGCAATCCTCCCCGTGTCAGAAGCAGATGAACAAAATAAATAGAGAAACTGAATCCGGTCAATTAACAAATAATTATTATTATTTTTTTTAATTTTTTTTTTAAATAACAACAATTATTAGTTATGCGAAACATGTCATATAAATCTGCTATTTGCAGTGTTTAACCAGGAATATACCAGGAATATATCTTCATTCATGTACTATGCCAATGGTATGCTATATATATATTTCAGATGCCTTTGCTTATGTTATCAGACGAATATCTATAATTCTATATATGAGAAACTTATGTCAATGTTATCAAAATGATATCTATATATCAGATGCCTATGCAAAGCTTATCAGAATGATATCTATATTTCACATGCATAAGCCAATGCTATCAAAATGATACATATATTTCAGACACATAGACAATATTATCAGAATGATACATATAATTCAGACACATAGACAATATTATCAGAATGATACATATATTTCAGACACATAGACAATATTATCAGAATGATACATATATTTCAGACACATAGACAATATTATCAGAATGATACATATATTTCAGACACATAGACAATATTATCAGAATGATACATATATTTCAGACACATATGACAATATTATCAGAATGATATCTATATTTCACAAGCATATGTCAATGGTATCAGAAAGACATATATATATATATTTCAGATGCCTATGCCAATGCTATGAAAATGATACATATATTTCATATGCATATGACAATATTATCTGAATGATATCTATATTTCAGATGCCTATGCCAATGCTAGATTTCTTTGTGAACAGTATTATCTTACAGCACCTGAACTTGAACTAATAACACATAGTAGTAAGTATATTGAAACAAATAGGATATAAAAGAGGTTGGAGGATACCAAGGAGACATTCAAAAGTTAAAGAGAAACTGAAATCATGGCAAAAACGAAAGACAAGGAAAAAACAAACAAGTCCACAAAAGAATACATAGAAAACTAAAGACTGAGCAACAAAAACAAAAAGGGGTGACACTTGTATCATCAGACTTAACACAAAAGGAAACTTCTTAAAACAATACTAGTTTGAGTTTTTTTTTCATTTTTATATAAATTGTGTCAAAGACTTTATGAATGGCGTAGATCTTTGTCAGTATTTTCAGTATAGTCTATTTATTGTGTCTTAAAGAATGAAATCTTTGGAGACATCCAACAGAAAGCTTCATCTGTAAACTTTAAACAGTATTTATTAATGAAAAATTATAACAATGAAGTAGTACAGTTATACATAAATTTCAGATATGGGATTCAGAAACAAGTTTGGAAAAAACTTTCATAAATGTGTCTCCCAAAACTGTAAAACTTACTTTGCTATTTAGATTTAGTTGATACTTTATATAAAAATAAGGTGATATGTCTTAATTGTTACATACTAAAGATCACAGAGAAAAAAAATAACATCTAAAGAGCTTCAACAATCAGTGGTTGTTCATAACATGCGGAAAACTGAAAGTTTCTAGAAAATAAATGAAAAACAACTCGTTAACACCACTGAAATAAATGTTTATAGTTTGAGATAGATACCAGTACATATGGAATGTGGAGGGTTTGAATTAATTAATAAGCATTCAACCTTACCCTTACTTCCAATAGTGACTACAACAGCAATGTAAAATTTTAAATAAATTATAATAAAGATAAATTCATAAACATAAAACACTTTTTCTTTTATTTTAGAACATGATAATGAAGAAGATATAACAATAGTGTATGTCCCTTCACATTTGTATCATATGTTGTTTGAATTGTTTAAGGTAAGTTTTCAAATTCTTATGAGCTTTTGATGTACATGGCAATAAATTACTATTAACTCATCTAATCTTGCAGTTGTGACTCAGTCGAAAAATTTATATAAATGTACAGATGGACTCATCCAGAGAACTTTTCAATGAAGTTTTATTCATACTTTAACAGCAATTTTGTTACATGACTAGTGTATTTAGTACTAGAAATTGTGTCTAGATGAAAAATTTCATCAACACTTATAGAAGTGTTTGGCCTGTGTAGGAATATTACTGATTTGATGAGACAGGTATATACATATGTAAACTTTTTGGTTGACAGATGGGTCATAAAAAAATCTTGGGTGAGTTGGTAAATTTCTGGGTCACTCTAACAAAAATTGGGTCAGTTGACAAGTATTTGATTATTGTCAAGGTTGATGATAACCTGAATACTGTGTTATTTTTTTTTCAATTTCAATTTTTTTCTTTTTTTGTTGACAGAATTCACTAAGAGCAGTTGTAGAGAATTTCTCTGTAGATAGTACTTTGCCAAAATTAAAAGTTCATGTATGTAAAGGAAAGGAAGACTTAACTATTAAGGTTAGTATTAATATGAAAAAGAAGCTAAACAAACACATATTTTTGGTTCAATAAAATTGATGTGGTTTTGTATAGAGGTAATGATGGTCTAGTCTCTGTTAAATTTAAAGGGGTATCTGAGGGCATTTTTTTTATCACATCTGGCCTTGAGGTAATATGAGTTATTGTTATCATTTAGCTTACATGCACATCATTTATTATAAGTCCTTGGTCTGTTATATGTTTCTAAACAAACTTTAGATCAATTAGAACAAAATTAGAAAAAAAACTTTAGGGTGTCTCCAATGAAATAATTGCTGATTTTTCTGACGACCTATCAAAGTGACTGCTGCTACTTAGAATAAAACAACGGTGAAATCCTAATATTTTTTTTTTCTCAATATTTATACAGATTGAGACCAATGATCATGGATATGATCATTTGAGATATCCATCAGATTCCAAACGAAGAGCCTTCTATCCCAATACACTATATTTTTTTTTTAAAAAGCCTTAAGTGTTGTGAGGTTTAATGGTTAAATTGCATTTTCTTGTGACATTTTATGATGTATGTATAGGTATATGATAATACATTGTGCACTGTATAGATACTATAAAAAAAAACATTTTAATCATACAATAAAATTGTGGTCTGGCATCAAATGTTTGCACAAAATTTATTTGGATTGTTTATTTTTTCTCTCACTTTATACAACATTCAACTTGAAAGTATTCAAACTAATTGTATATAAATGCATACATGAACACTATTTATTTTTTCTTACAGTTGTGTGACCAGGGAGGTGGAATACCTTATAACAATATAAACAAATTATTTGAGTATATGTATTCTACTGCACCAAGTCCATCATGTGCTAATTCAGGATCTGCTCCACTGGTAAGTTCTAATCATTTAAGTCATCTGCTGTTTGAAAATTTCATGGCAGGAAAAAATGTTCGGTCTACGCTTACAAAATCACATTGTGTAACTATATTGTAAGCACAAATGATACCAAGAATTGCAGAAGATAGTTTATGGAAGTGTGTACTGGAATGTAATGTTTAAACTGAAGTTATTAATATCATTTTTTTATTATCTTGGTTTGATGTTTGATCTACTTAACACAGAATGTTTTTGAAGAAATAAAATAGAATTTGTACCCATCTAAAAATGGATTTAAACAATAAGATATGACCTGCTTCTAGGGACTCTTTTTAGACAGAATTTCAACGTACCTTTTTTAAAACTATACATCATTTTAAAAGATCTATTGAAGCAAAACTGAAAAAAATCATTTTGGCTTGGGGAAATGTGATTTGGATAGTTTTACAATGAGTAATTGCCCTTTTCAAATTTATCTGCCAATTTTTATAACATGACCGAATTGTAGCATAATCAGATATACATAGAAATTTTACAGGGCAAATATCCTTGATGCATTGATTTTAAGTCATATAAGCCTCTAACAAACAAAATATTACACTACATCTGTAAGGAATGGAAAGTTGTGGCCTCTGATAATGACTAACATCTTTAATTAGATGAAAAATATGCCTGTTTGAAAGCATAAAAATTATGGAAATTCCAAGCAATCTTTTGGAGGAATCTGTACTTGTGGTATTTCAAATGTTCAATACATGTATAAAAATACTTACTGTACATGTTCTTTGTAATTATGCCCCCACCATAGCGGAGGGGGCATTAAGTTTTACCCTTGTCTGTCTGTACGTCCGTCCGTCCGTACATCCCAAAAATGGTTTCCGTTCTCTAACTTTAGTTTGCCTCAACCAAATATTATGAAACACGATGCTTATTACCACATAACACGGATCAAGTTAGAATTTTGGTGGTGTCACTTTTACTGTTCTAGAGTTATGCCCCTTTACAAATGGAAAAATTGTTGAAATATTCGTTTCGGTTCTCTAACTTTAGTTTGCCTCAACCAAATGTTATGAAACTTATGTGTAATGCTTATTACTTCAAAACACAGATCAAGTTTGAATTTTGGTGGCCTCACTTTTACTGTTAGTGAGTAATGCTCCTTTACAAATGGAAAAATTGCTGAATTTTTCGTTTTTCTTTTCTAACTTTAGTTTGCCTCAAGCAAATGTTATACACAATGCTTATTACAACAAAACTTAGATCAAGTACAAATTTGGGTAGTGTCACTTTTACCGTTCTTTTATAATGTTATATGCAAGCGGGGGCATCATCTGCAGTGATTTTCCTACCCTTTTTCAAATGGGGCCTGGGCCCTAGGCAATTGGGAAAAATGTGTCGTATAACGTATGAATTGGGAAAAAATAAATCATTGTGTTTCAACATATTTTAAGGATGTAGATATAAGAAGATGTGGTATGAGTGCCAATGAGACAACTCTCCATCCAAGTCACAATTTGTACATGTTATTTATTATTTCAAAATTCCAATTTTCAAACATATCAACTCAGTCATACAACCCTGAGATTTATTGCAAGTTTTCTTGTCAGTAAGATTTCTCTAACCGACACTTATATGTCATGGTATAATGTTTTCAGTGCTTAGTTCTGAGCTAGAGTCGACAACTGTCACTGATTATGGTCGCACTCAGAGTGAGATTGACAATCAGTCTCTCTTTGTACATGAGCAGAGTTCATTTCAAGTGAATTATGCTCAAATGTTTGGTTAGAAACAATTTGTTTAGTGTTAGTACTTGGGTTTGTGGTGATTGCTTATGTGCCTTTATCCGCCACAACCACGGCTTCATCCTGTTCTACATCCGTAAAAGTAAACATTTTCATTCAAAATATATCAGTCCCTGAAGTATCTTCAGTACTAATTTTGGATTTTTTAAAGCTCAACAAGTTTTTTACAATCAGTGGCATCTTTGTCTTTCTTTTATTTTGCAAACATAATATTTTGAATAATGAGAGGACATGTTGTCTGTTTGGGCATGCTCAATTCACAGCAAAAAAAAATAAACCAAACTGGCAAATCTTTGCTCAGTATGACATTGCCTGTCAAAAAACATTTACGTGTGAGAAAATAGTGAAAACCTTTTAGTTTTTCATGTAGGCATGTATTTACAATGTTATTCAGATAATAACACAGCATCATCACTTCATATCATTCCATATTCTTACCGTTAACTACCAGACGTCATCCAGATGCTGAACTAAGCTTACCTTACATTTTTATACGACCGCAAAAATTGAAAATTTTTTGGTCGTATATTGGTATGACGTTGGCGTCGTCGTCGTCGTCGTCGTCGTCGTCGTCTGGCGTCGTCCGGCGTCGTCCGAAGACACATTGGTTTTCGCACTCTAACTTTAGTTTAAGTGAATGGATCTCCATGAAATTTTACCATAAGGTTCAATACCACGAAAGGAAGGTTGGGATTGATTTTGGGGGTTATGGTACCAACAGTTAAGGAATTAGGGGCCAAAAAGGGGCCAAAAATAAGCATTTTTGTAATTTTTGTAATTCCAGACAATAACTTGTGTGTAAGTGTATGGATCTCTCTGACATTGTACCACAAGGTTCCATATCACAAAGGGAAGGCTGTAATTGATTTTGGGGGTAATTGCCTCAAAATTTTAGGAATTAGGGGCCAAAAAAGGGGCAAAAAACAAGCATTTTTCTAGTTTCATGACAATAACTTGTGTGTAAGTGTTTGGATATTTCTGAAATTGTACTACAAGGTTCCATATCACAAAGGGAAAGCTGGAATTGAGTTTGGGGGTAATTGCCTGAAACGTTTAGGAATTGGGGGCCAAAAAGGGGCCAAAAATAAGCATTTTTCTAGTTTCCAGACAATAACTTGTGTTCAAGTGTATGGATCTCTCTGAAATTGTACTGCAAGGTACCATACCACAAAGGGAAGGCTGGGATTGAGTTTGGGGGTGATGAATCATAAGGGGGTTCAAAAAATTCGGGGGGGGATTTTTTTTTTTTCTTTTTTTTTCTTTTTTTTTCTTTTTTTTTTCTTTTAAAATTTTCCATTTTAAGTTGGTTATTTCTGATTAATATTTAAAAGCAAATAATAATGATATGGTAGGAGTTACACACCAAACAGGATGTGTAAATTATTATATAATAAGTATTGTGCAATAGCAAGAAATTTTCAGGTTCTTTGATATGCTGAATCTAAACATGTATTTAGATTTTTGATTTTTGGCCCAGTTTTCAAGTTGGTCCAAATTGGGGTCCAAAATTAAACTTTGTTTGATTTCAACAAAAATTGAATATATGGGGTTCTTTGATATGCTGAATCTTACCATGTATTTAGATTTTTTATTTTGTAGGCCCGCTATCAAATTGGTTCATATTGTGGTCAAAAGGGTCCAAAATTAAACTTTGTTTGATATCATCAAAAATTGAATTATTGGGGTTCTTTGATATGCCAAATCTAAACGTGTTTTTAGATTTTTAATTTTGGGTCCCGTTTTTTAAATTGGTCTACATTAAGGTCCAAAGGGTCCAAAATTAAACTTAGTTTGATTTTAACAAAAATTGAATTCTTGGGGTACTTTGATATGCTGAATCTAAACATGTGTTTAGATTTTTGATTATGGGACCAGTTTTCAAGTTTGTCCAAGTTGGGGCCCAAAATTAAACTTTGTTTGATTTCAACAAAAATTGAATATATGGGGTTCTTTGATATGCTGAATCTAACCATGTATTTTGATTTTGGACATTGGACCATAATAGGTAAATTAAAAAAATTGAAGTTCTTAGACCACATTCTTTCTGTGTCAGAAACCTATGCTGTGTCAAATATTTAATCACAATCCAAATTCAGAGCTGTATCAAGCTTGAATGTTGTGTCCATACTTGCCCCAACTGTTCAGGGTTCGACCTCTGCGGTCGTATCAAGCTGCGCCCAGCGAAGCATTTTATTACCTATTGTGTCTGTTTGTTTTGTTCACGCATCATTATCAATATTATTAAATTTGATGCGACTGTCGTACAAGTGAGAGGTTTAGCGCTGTAAAACCAGGTTCAATCCACCATTTTCTACATTTGAAAATGCCTGTACCAAGTCAGGAATATGACAGTTGTTGTCCATTCGTTTCATGTGTTTTGTCATTTGATTTTGCCATGTGATTAGGGACTTTCCGATTGAATTTTCCTCGGAGTTCAGTATTTTTGTGATTTTACTTTTTACCCATTGTTAAAACTGGTTTACGGTCGAAATATGATAGTTACCTGTCTATATATTCAACGTGATTACACTGGGAACAGTACAACAACCTATATTTTGAACCAAATTATACGAACAATAAAATTATCAATTACCTTTCCGCTACAACTTGATTGAATTGGGAATTTTACCGCTTCAATTGGGAAAAATTTTAGGTATTTTCTGATTGGGAACGGGGCCGATATTCGGACCTAAAATAAAGGCAGGAAAATCACTGATCTGTGTCCCATGGACACATTGCCCATTTATTTTCTATCCTTTTAGAACCTGTCACACAATAAGATAGACTGATCAAGTTAACGTATTTAGTTTTCCACTTCTTGGTAGACTTAAATGTCACTTGTAAACTACTCATTTCATATCAATAAACCACATCTTTCAAAATTGTCTAATTTTGGTTTTTACTTTTGTTACATTTTACCTATTTACCCTTTAATGTTGACATTTAGCAATCACATATATATCCCTTTTTATACGACCGCAAAAAAATTTTTGTGGTTGTATATATGTATGACGTTGGCGTTGTCGTCATCGTCGTCCGAAGACACATTAGTTTTCGCACTCTAACTTTAGTTTAAGTGAATGGATCTCTATAAAATTTTACCATAAGGTTCAATACCACAAAAGGAAGGTGGGGATTGATTTTGGGGGTTATGGTACCAACAGTTAAGGAATTAGGGGCCAAAAAGGGGCCAAAAATAAGCATTTTTGTAAC